TCGTCGGGTGAAAAAAAAAAGGGCAGCCGTGCCAGTAATATCGCGAAAAGCGCAAACGTCGTTTGGATTTGTTTCTTCCTAATGGGGAGAATGACCATGTCAGCCAAGGTGTCGAATTTTTTGACGATTCTGTCGGTAGTAATTTTTGATTCAGATTTAAAGAATTAATTGTCGATACTTACAGTATTTGGTCAAATTGTGTGTGTTTTTCAAAAGCACTACCTCCTTTACAAAATCACTTGTTACTTTAGTTAAGCACTTGGTCACTTTCAAATTCACTGAACACGTTTTTCAATCCATAATTATTTGCAATATCACACCATGATTTTCGAAAATACAAGTCATTTGGCCACACACACAGTCATTGGTCAAGAGGTCTACTTGGACATTTTCTCGATGGATTCGGACAGGTCACTATTGGATTTAGTGACGTGCCCATTCGAATGAATAAGTGCCCAATGGATTTGGTACCCACGTTCGGTGTGCCCATTGGATTTGGCACGACCCCCTCGTGTGCCCATTCGATATGCCCATGCGCCTTATAGAATTGGTTTGTACCCAACCAAACAACCTTTAGATCCTTCAAAAGTGTCGTGCTTGCATTCAATTAGGAAAACTCAAAAATGAATTCAATAAATCATCCAAAGGATGAAAATAAAACATTTGCAAGGGTTCATAATGAACCGTCTTGTACGTGAACACCACGTTTGTCGAGTTCACGATGCAAAGTCGATGTGGACACCTCGATGCCCAAATCAAGCGCCAATCGATCTTTGATCTCTTGGAGCGTGATTTGGACGTCATGCTCCACCCAACTTTGCAGCATGTCGACGTTTTCCTCCGTCAGGAGTCGTGATATTTGTTTCCCCCTACATGATAATGTTAGATCGAGTAGACTCGACTTTCATACCTCGTTGTTTCGGCGTCAATGAGTCCAGATGCAGCCAATTTCGTGCGCTGCTGATGTTGACGCCGTTCGCTTGAGCGACGCGCTTCCAGTCCATCGCGTTGTTGAACGCATCAACTATGCGCTTCTTGGCCGACAGCGGAATGCGTTTGTACGTTCGATTGGGTGGCGTTTCGGGTGCTGTGTTCACCGTGGTTGACTGTCATGCGGAAGATTTGCTAGTGACGAAAAGCGCGCGAGAATTGTAGAACCCCCCCCTCCGATGTTCTAGAAGAAGCAATTGCCAACTGTAAAGAGTGCACGACACTTTTGAAGGATCTAAAGGTTGTTTGGTTGGGTACAAACCAATTCTATAAGGCGCATGGGCATATCGAATGGGCACACGAGGGGGTCGTGCCAAATTCAATGGGCACAGCGAACGTGGGTACCAAATCCATTGGGCACTCATTCATTCGAATGGGCACGTCACTAAATCCAATAGTGACCTGTCCGAATCCATCGAGAAAATGTCCAAGTCAATTGAAAAATGGTCTAGTATATATACAGTACTACTTGGGTTGTTGTCTTCTTTTTTTATCGGTTCCATGGGGTTGTAGTGGAATGAAATGACAGACACGTTTCGCCATGGGATGTTTGACAAAGACAAGCAACTGCTCTTGAATGCGATTGTGCACAACGCAGACATTGCCAACCCCGCGCTTGCGACGCCGCTGCATGCGCGGTGGTCCACGTCGCTCATGCAAGAGTTCAATGCCCAATACGAAGAAGAGATGAACGTGGGGGTCGGCCCAATGCGTACATGAGCGCGAGAGTGGATTTGCCCGAGCAAGCTCGCATGAACATTGGGTTCATCGACCTATTTTGCTTTCCTCTGTGGCGCCTCATGGATGGCTTCTGCTTTCCTCTGTGGCGCCTCATGGATGGCTTCCTCCGCGGCCTGGATGGCTGTGTGGACAACCTACAAGCCAACCGAGCTTACTGGGTTAGGAATGCCGAAGTTGGCTCAATTGTAACATAAATATATCTAGTTTTAGAATATTTCCGTCCACACACTTGCCTGAACTTTTACACGTACTGTACTGCATGTCGCCAACCTTGTAGCTGTAGTAGTCGGGGGCTACCGCCACGCCAGTTCTGGCTGTGTGCTCATTTCCCCCTTATTTCCTTTATTTTTTGTACCACATAGACTAACGTTATACGAAAACCAGATAAAATATTTGATTGGCTCTAATATATTGTCCACTTTGTCTACACTTGTGTATGCTCATGCTGGTTGTCAGAATGCGCTCGCATGATTGGATATAATAGCTTTGATATTCACAACAAATTACAATCTCATTGGCTATAAATTCATCCAAACTTGCAAATGATTGGTGAAAATCAATCAAAATATCGATGAATCACAGCTCCTATTTATTTTTTCTTGGTCGAGTTGAACCCTCCAAACCCCATCGCAGCCATCATGGCTTCTTCTTCGGCAGAAGCAAATACATCAACCGCAGGCGTCGGCGCTTTGGCCTCCTTCCTCTTGGCCTTCTTGGCCTGAGCCTCTTCGTCCAGCGCCGCCAACTTCTTCTCGTACGCTTCAACAGCATCAAGCTTCTTTGTGATCTCCGGGTCCCATTTTCGCTTTGCGGCGGCGTTCAGGCGATCCTTTACGGACGCGACAGAGGACTGTTCCACGCGCATGCTGAAGCCAAGCTTTCGCAAGTCTAATGGACATGTCAGCAGGACCCCAGACGAATCGAACGAAGAACGTCGTACGTTTTTTGCCATTGACATGGTCGATGTACGAGATGGAGTCCTTTAGCGTGACTTCGCACACCTCACAATAGTATCCTGTGGCTCGCATGGCATCATCCGGCTTGATGACAGTGGTCTTCCCGACGTTGGAGTCCAGCTCGACCTTTTTCGTCCGCGCCTACATGTGTGTCCGTCCATTCACGTCAGACATATGCTACCGACGAGCGATCGAGAAAGGATATACCTTTAGGAACGCTCGTACTGAACCCGCAGGACCAGCGGCATCTTCAGCTGCCGGCTGGAATTCCTCGCGCGCGAGGTCGATTTTCTTGGTTTTCTTTTCCTCTTCCTCCAACGCCCCAGACGCCCGCAGTGCCGCTTGTTGCTCGAAGAACGCTTTGTCCCATGTCTTGCGCGTTACGTTCGCCACACCTTTCTTGGGTTGGTCCTACCGGCATGAGCAGGGTGAGATGGTCGTCCGCCGCCACTTTCGTCGCCGACGCAGACTTACCGACATGTTGATCGTGGTGTGAAGTACGTAGCCAATCGGATGGACAGATTGATTATATTTTAAATGACCCAAACTTACCTTGGTTTTTCTATTCGTGGGGTTGTCATTAAATTGATTTTGTTCCGGATGCCAACTACATTATCCGGACATTGCGTTCAACGTTGCAATTGTAGAGCATTTGCAGTATTTGGAAGCGATGGGGTACCTCCATCAAAGCCAACGCGTGTTCACGCCGCTGTCTCAGGCACGCCTAGAACACATCGACGTCGTCCGTCTCAAGAAAGGAGGTTGTCGCTTCGAGGTGGCATGCTTCAAGAACAAGCTCGTGGAATGGCGCCGTGGCATTGAAACGAACTTGAGTGACGTGCTGCAGTCAGAAGCGATCTTCGACAACGTCTCACGGGTAGACCACGCCCCACTTTTTCTTTGCCAGCATCACATGTACATAGGGAAAGCGAGCCCGCGACGAGGACATTCAACGTGTGTTTGGGACCCAAGACATCGTCGAAGTAGCAACGTTCATCATGACAAAGGGGGCAATCCACGTGTCCGAAAGCATTCGTGTCGCCGAACACGACAGGTTGATCAACCAAGTTCACCTTCATACTCCATACTCCAGTCGGTCTAATGCATTATCCATACAGCATGTTCCAGGAAGTCGGGTCCGTCATTGCGAAAACGTCCGTGAATCCCGAGATTTCGCGACCGTATCCCGTCCGTCATCACCATCATCTCCATCTTCACACACCCTGACATGGGAACTTGTAGATGTCGGCGATCGAACAAATGATGCAGAAGATCCATGTCGCATTGACACCTCACGAACCTGTGGACATTCAGGTACATCATCCCCCCATTATCCATCGAAGTTCATGATGCTGTTAGGCGCTGGGCGTTCTTCAGCAGCTCAAACAAGTAATGCCAATTGTTCGAGCGACCATGAAAGTCCACGTCAGTGTTGCCTCCACCGGTGGTTCCATGTCCTCCATGATCTCGTCCTTCTGATATTCCCATCATGTAGATGTACGTCACATGCAATCGACGCTGCAATCGCTAGGTGCGACCGTCTTCGAACAACACAGCGGTGCCAACGGCGCTCTGGAATGCACATGCTTGATCGAACCTGGCGTGTTTGGAGCAGTGAAAGCATTTGTCAGCGAACATGCTACCCGTAACCCACACTATCCATCATCGTTGCTTGGAAACCTAAAGCTAATGATGTGTATGTTGTAGGTCGAGTTTTGCGCGTGGTGGAGTGCATTCCTCTCGACAGAGATGACGTGAACCTCCCGAATGAAACACCTGTCATTATGCAGGCGATGGAAGCACCACCTGCTCCAGTGGCAGTCGTCGTCGCACCCGCCGCAAGTACACGACCATGCAGCACGTGCGGCGGACATTTCGCCGACACTGCGCAGTACCGCGAGCATTTTCGATCCACGTGGCACCGGTACAACTTGAAGATGAAGGCCAAACTGGAGCCCATAGTCGACGAAGCGACGTTCCTTACGCTCGACGCAGACGCCGTCCAACGCGTCTTTGAATCCCTTGATTGAATGAACCAAGTCACAAGAAGGCTCGTCGTAGGCATCTCCTCTGCCACATAGCAGTCTGGAACTGTATCAGCATTCCCGACCGATTCTTCTGCCATCAAGTTGGGCGAGTTCTTTCTATTTAATAATAAGTGATGGTCTCGTAGTTTGGGGTTTTCACAAACTTTGCATTATTCTCAAAAATGTCGTGCCTCCGTAAAATAAATATTCACGTCCTTACTTACATTGTACAAGTGTAGATTAATTTTCATCATAATATTGCGACCGAATTTTCATTCAAATTTTACAAATTTTGAGGGAAAATAGCATTGGGCGTTTGGACGTTGCATAATTTGATCATCGATCTACCTCCGGCATGTCGTACTCGTCGACTGGACGGCAACGTAGCCAAGTGGAGCAGCCCAAGGGGCAGAAGCGACTGACGAATGTGGCCATCGTGCGACTCAAGAAGGGAGGATGCCGCTTCGAGGTGGCGTGCTACAAGAACAAGGTCGTGAATTGGCGCAACAAGATCGAGACACAGTTGGACGAAGTGTTGCAGTCCCATGATGTGTTTGTCAACGTGTCCAAGGTACTGCCACCACGCCCCGTCGATGGATCCTTCCTTCATGTTGATGATGGCCGCTGTTGATACATCGTCCAGGGCAAGCGAGCGACGGCGGACGATATGCGCAAGGTGTTTGGCACCGACGACGTGGACGAAGTGGCCAAGTTGATCATCGACCTGGGCGAACTGCAAGTGTCGGACGGCGAGCGTGCGGCGTTCAACCAGTCGTAGGTTTCAGTGTTCCATGTCTTGCTTGAACCCTTCTTACCTCATGATCGGCATACGTGTAGCTTGTTCCAAGAGATCGCGACCATTGTCGCCGAGAAATGCGTCAACCCAGAGTCCAACCGTCCTTACCCTGTACATAATCTATCCTTCCGTCGATCTTATCGTGTGTCTAGTTTTCCGTGATCGAGCGAGCGATGAAGGAGATCCACTACTCGTTGATCCCGAATCGCAGCGCCAAGCAGCAGGCGCTCGAAGTGATCAGCAAGCTGCAGGACCACATGCCCATCACACGCGCCAAGATGAAAGTCCAAGTGTCGGTGCCTGCGAAAGACGGCAAGGCCATGAAGAAGTACCTGGAGCAGCACAACGCCGCCGTGTTGGAGCAAAAGGGCACGTCCGACGTGCTGCGGCTCATTTGCCTCATCGACCCCGGCGCATATCGCGGACTCGATGCATTTGTCTTGAACGACGGCGACAACGTCGGTACTGTTGTTTTCGTTCATGGACACGTTGCTTAGCACGTCGTACAACCATCCCAACCATACGCGTATGTTTGTAGATGGCTCTCGGTCGTTGGAAGTGCTCGAGCTGAGCTGCCATGAAGAAGGCGAACACTCGATCGATGCAGAGATCTCCAAGAAGACGGAGCGACTGGGCCTGAATGCGGACGCGCCGTCCGTGGCCCCGCCTCCTCCATCGACGACGCCGTCCGCCGCGCCGGCCCCCGTTGGCCGCCCCTGCTCGACGTGCGGCGGAGCATTCGTCGACACGGCGCTCTACCGCGAGCATTTTCGATCGGAATGGCATCGCTACAACCTCAAGCTCAAGGCCAAGAAGCGCCCCGTGATTGACCAAGCTGCATTTGGCACGTTGTCGTCGCACGACGTCCAGCGGTTCTTTGAAACGTTGGATTAAACGTGCATTGTACATATAGCATTGTCAAGTCGATTCGAAATTGGAGTGGTTGGTGGCCAATCATTGACCAAATCGGCAGACAATCAAAGATCGACCAATCAAAACCCACAACATGCGTCAAGTAGCCAATCAAGTTCACTCTTGGACCAATTCAAAACACCCAAGTAGTGTGTGACTGAAATTAATACTGGACGATGTGTCATACAAAAGTCAAAGAATTGATCGATAGATTTGGCAAAGAATCAGCATAAAAGTCCACATTTTGGGTAAAGATTGATTCGAATGAATACTATTATAATAGTAACTTTAGTAATATTATTAATATACTCCGAGTAAAATACTACTGTTAGTAGTATTATATAGTACTTCGAAGTATTAGTATTAATACTGCAGTACTAATATTAAAGTTTATCGTACTTCAAGTATGAATGAACTGTGAACCTGTAAAGGCGAAAGAAACGTATGGATATCGCCAAATCGAGTTTCAAACTGAACCTTCGAGGCACGTACAGTTTTATATAATAAATATTAAATATTTTTTTATACAAAATAAACAATTTTTTAATGTTAAATTGAATTAACTTCGTATGGGATCTCCACTTGATATGGAACGTTGTACTACCAAATCCCTTGTATCGGGGAACTTCCGTACAATAACGTCGATTAACAACGTAGCGATTGAAATGTCCCCCCTCTATAACTACTAAACTACTGCTATTCGTCGTCGGACATCTAAGTGCAACCCCCATGGGGCTCATACCTCCATGAAGTCTGGTTCGTTGAATCGTCGATCTCGACGTATTTGGGGAGATCGAGGCGTCATATCATGGAGAAAAATGTGAGTGTTTGAGGCCAACTAGGCACTTAGAGTGGTGGGGGGCAGCATGAACACTTTGGGCTTGTCGAAAACGACGATTGCGTCTTCGATCTCTTGCATTTTCGAATCGATGGCGGTCTTGCGGCGGATCTGACTCAGGGTTTCGATGCGTAATGGGAGCGCTTGGAGCTGCCGCCGTGTCTGTTCGAGGGTCTCACGAAGGGTCGCGAGGGTAGCCACCCGCTCGTCGTCGGGCATGAGCACCATGCCAGGGGGACAGTCGGGATCGGGGAGGTTCGCGCGTCGGTCGCCTTCCTCCTTGGCCCACTACGACATAGAATGATATGATAGACACATGCAAGCATGGTATGACGATGTACCGCTGCTTTACGAGCTCGAATATACCCTGGGACTTCGCCGAAGTTGCGGTGCCGCCTTGCTTTTGAATCGCGCACCTCGGCCGGCGACGGGTCCAGCCGCTTGGGGGTCTGTTGGATGACATGCCATGCATTCGTGCTGATGTAGTCGACGTTCTTGTTGCGGAGGTGCTGCGTCATCTCCTTCAGGTCGTCCTCGCGCTGCCTGAGTTCTGCCTGGGTTGGGACACGTGCCTTAGTTAACCGATCGTCCACGGCGGATCGATGGGAACTCCGAGACATTCTGCTGTGCGTGCTCGGAGCTTCTGACGCCAAGTCCCCCACCGACGACGACGACGAGGAGCCTCCTCTTCGGGACTTGGTAAACTTTTTGATCTTGAAATTGTCGCGCTCTAGCTGCGCTTTTGCGCGCACTTCGTCCTCCTCCTTCTTCTTCTGCAACTCGCGCTGCTTCTGCTTGACCAGCTTGCGGTTTTCAGCGACAAAGTCCCGGGGGATCGCGCCACGTCGAATCATATCCTCACGATAGCCAGTGCTTGGACGAAGCGCACTCGCGACGCCCGACGAGTCATTCGTCCGCGCGACCCGCCATGTCGCCATGGTTTCCAATTTGCGATATCATTGGTTATCCGGATATAGAAGAATGACTCACAAGACTTGATTTTTTTAAAAATTCAGACTTTCCATGTCTTTTAAGATTTGATTTTTAAATCAAATTGGTCCTAACGTTAGGCGAGTTACTAGGAGTAATTGCTTCCCACCTGAGGCTAATATACAATGTATACTACCGTAACGTTAGTAGTACTACTCAAGTACGTAGTCTATACTACCGTACTACTACGAAGTACAATAGTACGTAGTATTTGTAGTATACCAGTAGTAAAAGTTACCTACTAAATATGAAGGATACTTACTAGCTGTGATGCACAAGAGGCTGCGGGAAATCGGGAAACCCGGTTACAGAAGAAGGTTGATGAGGAGGTGACGAGATGGGGCCGAGGATCAAACGTTGCGACTTCAGTTGGCTCGAATATAAATGGGCTATTAATAGATACTAGTACTACTACATAGTACTAGTTTTCGGTGAATGTAAGTTAGGGGGATTTCTCTAGTACTAACTGGTTTGTCGTAGTACTTACTACCTAGGAGCACTGCACTGTAAACACTAGTGTAGCCTCCGCAAACTCACAAAGTACTGAAGTTAAGTAACTTACTACTGTTGCCATCATGACATCACGTAGGCACGATTTCAGGGGTTGTGGTTGGTCATGAACGCCTTGAATTCCTGCAGCATCGTGTCGTCAATCCATCACATTCGTGAAATGTCCTCGTCTTGTAGGCAAATGAATTTGATTCGCTAAAAATGTCCCAATAATGCACCAATGAATGAAACGCAGTGCATTGGTTGGTGTTTCTGTATGATCATTTATTTGGTTGGTGATTTTGTATTTGAAGTTGCAACAAGATGGGGAAGAAAGAGCGGCAACAAGCGGTGGGTCGTACCAAGAAGGGTCCGGGTAAGGGCCTCAAAGCGTCCTTCGGCAAGGGCACGGGCAAAGGAGGCAATGCGTTCGATGTGCAGAAGAACTCCAAGTCCAAGTACGAAGTACTGGGTAAGCGCGTGAAAGGACAAGGCCGGAACGTGGCGGCAGCGCGCGCGGACGCCGAAGAACGCCGCCGGTCGACGTTGCTCAAGCAGTTCCAAGGTCGCAAGAAGAACAACGAGTACAAAGATCGTCGGTTGGGTGAACAGAACGAAAACATGTCGTTGGAGGACAAGATGATTGCCCGGTTTCAAACCGAGCGCAAGCGGCAGTACCAGCAGCGCAACGCCGCCAAGTTCAACTTGAACGACGACGGTGAGTCGGACCGCGAAGAGGAGCTGTTGACACATCGCGGGTCCAAGATCGACGACTTTGACAACATCGACATGGCGGGCGAAGGCAGCGACGACGACGAAGATCGCGCGTTCGACCATAAATTGGGACGGGACATTGTGAACCAGTTGCATTTCGGCGGCGGCGGCGACAACAAGGGGGGGGACGACGGAACGGCGGTGGAAGGGCCCGAGCGCAAGAAGACGCACGAAGAAATCATGCAGGAAGTGATGATGAAGTCCAAGATGTTCAAAGCCGAGAAGCAAAAGTACAAGGCGACACAGGACGAAACCACGGAGCAGTTGGACGCGCAGTTTGCCGACTTTCAGGCGCTTCTGGAGTTCCGACCGAAGAAGGAGGACAGGCCGCGGGAAAAGCTCGACGAGTTTGACAAGATGACGCGCGAACTGGCGATGGAGGCCAAGGCCAAGGCCACGGAGCGCAAGCTGTCGCCCGAGGAACTCGCCAAGAAGGAGCACGACAAGCTCGCGGACTTGGAGAAGAAGCGTGTGGCGCGCATGAACGGCGAAGACGAAGAAACAAATGACAAGGCAAACCAGCGAAAGCACCGCAAGAAACACAAGGCGAAAACGTCCGAGCCCGAGCTCGTGTTGTTACCGCCGAAACAGCGCGCTACGGACGACTCGCTCGTCGATGACTTTCAAATTGACGACGAGTATCGGCAACGCGTTCAAGGCGAAAACGATTCAGAAGCAGAAGAGGAAGCAGATGAAGAAGAAGGAGAAGAATCAGAAGAAGAATCGGGACCAGAAGAAGATGAAGAATCAGAAGAAGACGAAGAATCAGAAGCAGAGGAAGAATCAGAAGAATCAGAGGAAGAATCAGAAGAAGACGAAGAAGCGCGGGCGGCGGCGCTTGTCAAGCGGCAAGAAGCGGCGAACGAGATGCCGTTTGTGTTTCCGTGTCCGGAATCAGCCGCCGACTTGTCAAGGTTGTTTGCCCAGTATGGTCCTACAGTGGACGCCCGCAGCACGATCGTGTCGCGTATCCGCGCGTTCTACTCGCCCAAACTGCATGCCGACAACCCATCCAAGATGAAAACCTTTTTCGCTGTGCTTGTGCGGACGTTTTTGAAACTCGCGTCCAACTTTAAGCGCAACCACCTCGATGTACGTAAATGTGTTATTCGTATCTTGGTCCTATATGATTATAATTCACAGTGTCTCTATTATCTTGGTCCTATATGATTATAATTAACAGTGTCTATATTATCTTGGTCCTATATGATTATAATTCACAGTGTCTATATCTTGGTCCTATATGATTATAATTCACAGTGTCTATATCTTGGTCCTATATTATTATAATTAACAGTCGATTCTTGTTTTTCATTGTTTGAATGTACAAGTGGACCAGTCGTTTCACACGACTATATCTGTAGTCACACACGAATTCAATGCTGTGCATTGGTCCAAGAGTGGATTTGATTGGCCAGTTGAATTGTGTGCCTGTTTTTTGATTGGTCGATCGATTGCATTATTCTGCTGCTTATTTGATTGAGCGAGCAGCAGAGCACCCCCACACTTCAATGTGGCGTGGTTTCTCGTTGGAATTTAAATCGATTTGATTGGCTACCTCAGATGAGCTCAAAATTATTAGCCAATCAAAACCTTCTCAATGAAATGCAACCAATCAGATCGATTGTGGATCGGTTTGGTCGGCGCAATTCGATTGCACAACCCCTGCCCAAATTTGTATCAAATCGACAATATTATTCGTATACTAACGAATCGATTGAAATTGTATGGGTATATTCTGGTGGCGGAGGAGCAGCTGTGTTGACTTGCTTGTTGTTCGTTTTGTAGGCGGATGCAATTGCAACGCACGTATTCGGCCTCGCCCAAGACCTGCCCGATGCAGCCGGCACTGTCTTTCGTGAGTTCGTGGCAACACTCGCCAAGAAAACGGCCAAAAACTGCTGGCCCGATATGCGCGACTTGCTGCTGCTGCGGGTGGCGCTGCATGTGTTTCCCGTCACGGATCTGCGGCACAATGTGATCTCACCCATTGAACTCGTGCTCGGCCAAGTACGTCGTAGTGGTTGATATATATATCATGTATATATATAGACAGTTAGTGGCTGGTGTATACAGTTAGTTGGTGCTATTGTCCGTTATTAACCCCAAATTTGGAATTTTTGTGCCAAATCTATCGATTCTTTTTCCTGACTTTTGTAAATACCCCTCGGCCAATGACACACTAATTTTATTCACACACTATTTCGATGTTGACTTGGTCCAAGAGTGAACTTGATTATTGGCTACTTGATTCGTGTTGTGGGTTTTGATTGGTCGTATATCGATTGTCTGTCGATATATTTGGTTATTCTGCTCATTCGATTGAGAGAACCCCACTCCAATTTCGAATCGACAAATATAGAGTTAATTGGTGATATAGAGTTAGTTGGTGACAAAGTAGTGTTTGTATTGTAGTGCTTGTCAAGAGCAACGCTGGAAAGCGCCGACCATGTGCGCCGCGCGCTGTTTTGCGCGGGTCTGTCGCTCCAAATCACAGCAAAAAAGGGCAAATTCATGCCTGAACTTGTGCATTGCTTGCATGAAATCGTCGCGCTGGTGCACTCGCAGGACGCTGATGACGCGTGGTTTGTCGCGCCGCTCAAGGCATTTGTCAAGTCCAAAGCGACGACGTTTCCCGCGCTGGCGTTGGATGCTGCCACCGACGGATTGGACGCCGCCGCCGTCTCTGCCGCCATCTTCCACTCGACGTACGTCCTTCTCATGTGGTTACAACGTCCCCTTGCAGCCAAACCATGGCCTTGTGTGTGGCGATTTGACCAATCTCTTGATGGATCGATGACGTGTAGTACAAAGTGATTCCTGTATTCCTTGTTATGACTTGGGCATCATCACACTAATTTTGGTGTTTCTCACCACCAACCAATGTCATGTTGAGTGTCGGTGTGTCTCTGCCACGTGATTGGCTAAAAATCATTTCCAATGTTCGACTGAGTTGAGTTAAACTCAACCATCATATGCCCAATATCATGGACTTGAAACCTCACATGCTTTTTTTTGCTTGTTATTCATCGTAGGCTGACAACAATTCGACTGGCGGCCACTCAGTACGCGTCGGTCGCGTCGTTCGTCGAGTTGTTTGCGCCCCTTCACACCCTGTTGTCGCAAATCAAAGCCAAATCGTTAAAAGTGCAAGCGGAGGAGACGCTGGCGCTTCTGACCAAGCTCACGGACGCATCGTTAAAGCAGCGCCGGCCGTTGCGACTCCAAGCGCATGCCCCGACGGTGCTGCCGACGTTCGTCCCGCGCTTCGACGAGAACTACGCCATGCGCAAAGACAAGACCATGGAGCGCGACAAGGCGCAGCTCAAGCAGCTGCAGCGCCAAGTGAAGCGGGAGCGCAAGGGCGCCAGCCGCGAGCTCAAGCGCGACGCGGCGTTCCTGAGCCGCCAGCGCACGGAAGAGCACAACGTATGGCGCGCCGAGAAGGACGCCAAACAGAAAGAGATCCGCGGGTGGATGGAGCACCAGAATGCTACGTTCAACCAACAAGTGCGCAAAGGCGGCGAACTTATCAAGGGCGGCGGGTCTGGCCCGGCCAAGAAGCGCCGCATCAGCAAGAAATAGAAGAGGCTCGATTGCAGCACTATCTATTGTCCCCTGTATATGTACTACTACTACGACTAACGTTAACTACAGTACATGTCGACGTTTTGATACAAATTTGGGGAGGGGGTGCAATCGAATCGCGCCGACCAAACCGATCCACAATCGATCTGATTGGTTGAATTTCATTGAGAAGGTTTTGATTGGCTAATAATTTTGAGCTCATCTGAAGTAGCCAATTAAATCGATTTAAATTCCAACGAGAAACCACAACACGAAATTTCACTCGAAAGCACAATATACCAGGTACTCCGAGTAACGTTATTGGAGATTCGGTATGAATTTCCTGACCAACACTAATCTCTCCCATTGGTGAATTCTGAAACTACTTGTCTCTGATTGGCTACAATATCATTTTGGATTTCGAACCAATCAGATGACTCCGCCCAGTTTGTGCTTGGTTAATTGACTGTGAGTTTGGATTATCACTTCGTTGGATGAACCATAGAAATTGGGAAATTTGAAGAAAATCGACAATAATATCATCTTCCGTTGTCGACATTAATATCTTCTCAAACCCGGGTTGACATGTGAATCGACAATATATTTTGGTCAATCTACTTCGAATAGCATATCGAAGCATAGTACTAAGGAAGTGTATCACCCTCACCCCCAACCTTCGCCCTCGTTGGTTGGAGCATGTGTACTAAACGTCACATAACGTTATACTTCGAAGTATTAATTACAATATGTATGTACACACTGGGGATTCAACGTGGTTATAGTTAACGTTACTATTCCTTACCAAAGCCAGCAACCACAACTTCCAGTGCACCGCCATGGCGAGTTTATTACAGTAATTAGGGACAGGTCTCGTACTACAGCAGAACGGTAAGCAGAACCCTACTCGAACCAACTGAACAGTTGCCTTCAAAGATTCTACTCAAGCGTCGCAGCAAAATAGCAATTGGCCCGCGGCGTCTTGAATCGGCTGCAGCTCCCGCGCGTTCGACCCGCCGGGAAGGATGTCGATGAAGTGCTGCAGTTGCGCCTTGGACATGGTCCGGGGGTCCTTGACGAGAATCCACTCGACGTGCTCCGTGTATGGCGGGGTCGTGAGCGAGCCTTGGTACCGGTAAAACGCTTCGTCCGTGATCGCGGACGCAATGTACAAGTCGTCAAACGAGATGTTGTCCACCGTCACATCCACGCCGTGGGGGTCCAGTTCGGGCAAGACGTTCCAAAACTGTTTTAAAAACGGGCTTTCGTCATGGCCGACTTGAAAGAACACGCCGACGACGGCGAGGTTGCCGTCGGTGGACTGGTGCACCAAATGCATGCAAAATGGAAAGTGGTGGCCCTGCAACGTATGCTCGGACGGCGTGTGAAAGTGGAATTGGATCGGACGGAATTCGCGGCCGTCGCGAAGCTTGAGCACCGTGGTGGCATCGCCCGACCAGTTCACTTTGAAGTTGGTGTATCCGTGCTCGAACCGACCGGGTCCAGTCCCAAGCGTGAGGTCAATGTGACCAGAGTAATCGTCCATGATGATCTCCTTCACGGCATGCGGGTCGATATCGATCGGCGACTGCTGCGTCATGTTGTCAATGTAATAGTGGTGGCACCTGAACCCCGTGGTGATTACCATGATTGTCTGAATCGGGACGTTTCAAACGTGTGTTTTATTCACCATGGACATGTTGCCAATGTCATCATCCTCCGGTGTGTTGGAGTACGTACGTACTGTGGTGCAGGTACAAAGAGGAAGCACTCTGTCCTACATCTTATGGTTTCGATCGAGGTCAACCAAGGACGTTCGTTACAAGTAACGTTATCGCTGTGTTGGCCAAGGCACTTTACCCTTTTCCGGATACGATATGGTTGGAGTCCGTATAAAACGTCATTGAAACACATGCACATCTTTTTGGTGGAGAAATGGCCAGCTACATAAATGATGCCAGCACATCGAGGTCCGTGCATGTTTTTAGCTGCAATCAGTACCAAGTAAATCCGTTTAGGGCGCCAGCAACAGGAGCATCTCTGTCCGTCACCCACCGCCTCATGTTACCAAGGTGCTGCGTCCATGCACTTCGCCCTTGAGCTCGCATAAAAAGTTGTCGGGCGTAGTGTTTTGAATTGCGTATTTCTAGCACTCTTTTGTGTCAATTATGTACTGTACCGGTGTAAGCACTGACAACCCCTAAACCCCCATAAACCAACCATGTTGACGTTTTGTTCCCAAGTTTGCTCTCAAACCACGTTGTCGCATAACGTTAAACTGTTGTGGATCAAAAAGTGTTCACAACAGGAATGTTGGTTGAAATATATTATAATGAACAGCTGAAATTATTGTCGATTTGATACAAATTTGGAGAGGGGGTGCAAACGAATCGCGCCGACACCAAACCGATCCACAATTGATCTGATTTGTTGAATTTCATTGAGAAGGTTTTGATTGGCTAATAATTTTGAACTCATCTGAGGTAGCCAATCGAATCGATTTAAATTCCAACGAGAAACCACAACACGAAATTTCACTGGAAAGCAATGCCAGCAAGGGATGCGTTAGGGGAGGAGACAAGTGGTGGACGTTTGAATTTAACAGAGCATTTTAGCAAGTGGTTTGTGCCAACAGACAAAATAGATGCTACGTATGGGCGGGGGGGTCCTGCATTGCTGCTCCTTCAACGAACCCCTCCCCCCACTGCATGACCAAGGAATCAAGTACTACGTAGTATTGATTTGACTGTGTGTAAACTTGGTCGTTGAAATTCTAGCAGCAGGACGACGTTGCTCCCGGTAGCACCTGTATGTTTGCATTGAAATGCCATGGAGGAGCAAGTATCCACCGTCGGAAGCGCATACAGTACGTCAAGGACATCTCTCTCCAGGATAGATACGTTGTGGCCCAAACGATGTCACAGCGACCGTGGCGTTCACCAAGAGCCGTTCCATGATGATTGGCCATCGTTCCCTTGACGCGAATACTTTCCAAGTCAGTCACGATGCATTCCCTTTGCCGAGAACTTGCTCACGTTTCTCTTTGCGGGGTTTGACACGACCAGCATTGCACTGGCGTACACCCTGCACCTACTCGCGGCACACCCACAGGTGCAGGATAAACTCGTGGCTCAACACATCGTGAGTTTTTTACGAGTTTGTTCCCATACGCTGCTTAGTTTTCTGGACTCGAGCCACATGCACAGGGGAAAATCGAGGTCCGTCACGGCGAGCTATACGCGAAATCTTCGTTTGGTCGCGACGGAAATCGAACGTCCGACAGCTCTAACAGACGCCCTTGGTTGCGTTGTCCGCGGCAACTGCGCTACTGCGCATGGCAATACATCATACACGCATAAATACAGTAGCCAACATCGTCGCAGCATAGAGGTCTTGTTGGGGGATGGAGGTAAAAGCTCAATGGCCTGGATTCGGTCAAGTTGAAGTTCAAATTGCACATCTACTGAACGATAGGGATGTAGACGTTTCGTGGTAAAAGGAAACAAATTGACATGCATACTATCTCCCACAATTGGTAAAGTGGCCTATCAAAGTTATTTCATTCACGACCCTGCTCCAGTTACAGTCGTAACCGCTGCCGTTGATGGGAACTGTGTCGTCTGCAGGTACTTACTCCATGTGGAAGTCGCAGGCCATGGCTGAATCATTTGCAGGGCGACGTCAGCGCCGGGTAGTGGATACTGCACCAAACCCGATCCCAAAGTACAAAGTGCTGCTCGTGGGGGGAGCCAGCGTCGGCAAGACCAGCATCTTTCGACGGCTGCTCCATACTGGCGGCGACTTTGGCGAGCTTAGCCCACCTGGGACCGTGGGTGGTGCGTAGCCTTCTATGCTTGATTGTCTTATTCCCACGTGGGACTCATGCAGTTGGTTGTCTGCAGTCAACATTGGCGTCAAATGTGTCGACGTCGAAGGCCTCGGTCCCATGGTTGTCGAGGTATACAAATAACTGTTACTAGTATGTTTGACCTCGATGGTTACTACTACTACTAATCATGTTCACCGCGGTATAACCGGTATAACCACCATGGTTAGTTGTGGGACGTACCGTCGATCGCCGCGCCAGACAAATCCTGCCAGAACGAGCTGTACTTTGACAACACCCACGGTATCTTATTCGTGCACAGTGCAGTCAACCGTGGTAGTTTCCAGCACCTCCAAGCGTACCACACTGCATTCACATTGCACTCAACAAGTATGCCCGTCGCCATGCTTGTGTTGAAGAACAAGTCGGACGACACCATCGACGAGACTGCCTCAATACATCTGCAATGGCTCGAGACACAAAAGATAGACCAGGTCAACGTATCTGCCAAGATGAACGTGGGGCTGTTGGCGTGCCTGCGACGCCTGCTCGGGGAGATCGCCACATCAAATCAACCTCCGAATAATGCAAATAGTGATTGCCAGGTATTACAAGCCAAGTCATAATACTGCTGTCCAAACTATCTACCGGTAGCTACCTATATCTATAAATCACGTGATAAACTCTTCGTCCAAGTCATCGTCATCAAAGTCTCGCTTGGCAATCGAGTACGCCGTGGAATTTGGCCGAATGGCTACGGTGGCGGCAGCTGGCGACGACGACGACGCGGAGGAGGGGAATGTCCTGACGCTTTGACCTGGACTCGCGTCGTCGTTGCATCCAAACTCGTCGTGGGACCCACCGCCGCCGTCCGCCTCGTCTTCGTACCGATCTCGACAACGGGACGATGACGTCGTCGCATGAAACGTCATCGCAGACGAGAACGTCGGCGACATCATCATCGCAGGCATCTTCTTTGATGCCCGCCCAACAACACTTGCTGTTCCTGGGCAACTTCGAAGGGGACTTGTCTTGCCATCATGTGTACCCTCCTCGCCAGCACTCAACGACACGTGACTTTCGTCATCAAAGGCTGCAATGTCGTCAGACCCAGCGGCGTCGTTTGGTGGCTTGTCGACATCATCGACAGGTCTGTGTGGCGTGTCCAAAGTAGACGGATCGAGTGCGTTCGGTTGTTCCGATGATCGGACTGATATGTTGAATGGAGGTTGGTCAACATCCACTTCGATCGACGACTGCACAGCGGTGGGAGGGGTGACCGTCGTCTCTTTTACTGCGCTTGTATTCGTGGACACTTCGAGCACACGTGGCAGCACGTCGTCGGTACAGTTGATCGACTCTGATGACGTGGCATCCCCTCCTTGCATCTCGCCTTCACCACCAAGTTGTGTGATGGCTTCGATCCCCCCTTCGTCTGACATTTCATGAGCTATGGCTGTATCGGTCCCGCTATTCGAACCCAACTCAAGGTGCTGCTGCTTTACTTGGACGTTTTTCGTCGTCGTCGTTGGTTCATTCGTCGTTGATTCATGGCGGACTCTTTCGATGATGCCATCGCCCTCCTTCGCTTCTCCCATCTCTTCCTCCATCCTGGCGTTCTGTAATCGCTTGTCCAATTCCCCATATGGCATACTACCACTGGACGAAACTTGTATGGGCGCTGTGGACACCTCCAAAGTGTGACATTTCATCATTGGTACGTCGTTGCCATCTTGTCGTGGGTTGCGGGGAGTCGAAGTGTTATTTTGGCTCCATTTCGAGCTCGAGTCCAAGAAAGAAGTCGGAGCAACCACAACCCTGCTGCGGCTCGTGGTTGTCGGGTCCTCAGGGGCGGCGGTAGCAGCATCAACATCCTCATCATCGTTGGCGCCTTCCGCTTTGCCTAGACTTGCATCCATCTTGTAGCCAGGCTGCGCATGATCTGGCACAATCTGGTTGATGTCGAGAGTGCTCGCCATCGTATCCTCTGCAGGTTGTAGCTCCTTGGCGACGGGCGGTGGTACATCGATGCAGACGAGGCTACCATATCTGGGCCCCATAATCGCTTGTTCGTCAGGTGTTGCTATAGTAGCTCGTTTCCGCTCCAGGACACGGGCCATCCACTCCTTTTGAAGTCCTTCGCGTCGATCCATACGAGCTTGGAGGGTACTTAACATGGCATTTCGGTGCTTTTCCGACGGCATCCACTCGGTCTCGACCGTCGCGTGGACTTGCAAGTCGATCGCTACTATTCGCTCCAGCAACGCCTGCCATATATATATATATATATATCACATGAGCCCATAGTCTAGTAGCATGTTACTAGTAGTAGTAGTACTACTACTACTAGGAATAGAATAGAACCTACCACAGGCAGCCCATGCAAGTGGCGTTTGTATGCTGATAGCGCTGCGTCGTGCTGACTTTGGGTCAGGTACGTGAGGTGAGTGGGAATGCCGAATCGAGCGGCGGTGTCCGTCAGTTGCTTCAGATGCGACATGATGCTGCTGTTGACGGATGGATCGGTATGGGGCCAACCGCTGGACAAGAACGGGCGGCGGGGAAGTGGATGGCGCGAGCTAGCTGCTGTAGTCGTGGGGGGTTGTTGAATACAAGCCCTATATATATATATATATATATATATAAATGAACTGTGTTGGACAGAGCAACGGAATGCAGCCAAGGCAGTGTTCATGGAGAGAAATAGAGGAATTTGGTGTACTTGTTCGCGCGGAGTTCTATCATGTCCATGATATCTTGAATGTACGCCGCGGTCAATTCCGGCGGCAGAATCACTGTAGCTGACTCGTCGTCCATCGCACGTTGGTCATGAGCGATCGGAGTTGCTACCGTCGTTGCTGCAACTGGCCCAGCAACGCCAGTCTGTGAGGTCGCAGGTTGAGTGCTGTTGTCCATTGGATTTTCAATGCATATGGGTACTGGGTTGGGGGATGGAGCCTCCTTTGTCATCACCACATCTCCAGTCGTTTGAACAACTTCAGTCACTTCCACCACGTCGTCGTCGTCGGGTGGTGGCAACTCTGTCGCAGGGTCGAACTGTGTACTTGCATCAACGAGAACAGGTTTCTGTGACGTGGTGCACTGTACGATATCGGCCACCTTCGGACTCTGTTCCAAGGCGGCTATGATGAGTTCAGCTTGGCATGCCATACTGTGGGTAAGGGGGGGCGGCGGCAGGTCCTCGGCTTTGGTTTGCGTGCTGGCGTCGTTGTAGACGATGTTCGTGTGCAAGTTGTTCGCCGCGATGCGTCCGTTCTTTATTCGTTCGTGAGCAACGAGCAGTTCAGTATACTTGTCATGCTGAGCTTTCATGTCGTGTCTGGCAGTCGCCAAAGCCTCCTTGGCATGCTCCAGCGCCCCTTCTAGCCGTTGAATGGCCCCCTGCGTGGTGGAATCTCTAGGGTTGGTAGAGGTCGTTGTGGGTATTGTGAGTGCCAACTGGTGGCACTGCAGTTGCAGCTGCGATACTTGGTCTTGCATGGTTTTCACTTGTTTCTAATAAAAGTGAAACTATTTGTCCACAATTCAGCTATGATTTTATGAAAACGAAGCAGCAGCTATATATATATATATATATGTACCCCGGCGTCATCCTTTTCAGCGCGACATATGGTCAATTGTCGTTGGGTTTCGTCGACTCTAGAAACCAGAAACAATCTCGTTTCAAACGACTAATATATATATATATATATATTATAAAAATAATCAATCATAGGACATCATATAACTATCTATTAATAGGTATACGACTCACCGCCATTGCAAGTCGGACCGTGCCAACTTGAGCTCGTTCGCCACAGCTCGTTCGATAGCCAACTCATTTTGAAGCGCTTGCAACGTGTCGGCGCTGTCGGCGGTCGCTTTCTTCATGTGGACTTCATGCTGGGCGAGAAGGAGTTCGAGTTTTGTTAATATATCGATGTTTGGGGTTTGATTGTTGCCGGAACCGCCGCCTTGGATAGTTCCCTTGCCAACTACTCCCTATACGTGAAATTGAATGTGAGGAAACTATCTTCTGTGGTATGTATATGGTGGGTATACTACCGCGGAAGAGGAAGCATGCCGTCGATCAATGTGCTTGAGAAGGTAGTCCTGGGTGCCAAAAGCTTTGCCGCAAAATGCGCACAGATGCGCCACTTTGGGCATGGTGGCGTCGGTGGTGGGGGTGAAGGTGGACATCATCGAGTCGGAGGTTGCGAGCATACTTTCTACCGCAGCGATCGTGTGCGGAGAACATCCTTGGGCATGTAGCACCTGGCTGCAGCTTTTGAGCAGCGTCGTGCATCGCGCGAGCTGGGCCTTGAGTGCCTTCACGTCCGTCTTGGCTTCCTTGAGGCGCAGTCGAAACGAATCTCGTTCGTTGGACACGGCAATCAAGTCCTCTTGGAGGACATGGGCATCGTACGCGTCGCCCTTTCGACACTCGATGAACGTTTCCACCACCAATTGCAAGATGCGAATGAGCTTGCACGACAATCGCGGCGATGTGCACGCGGTCTCTGTCACCAGCGCATACGTCAAGGTCGGCACCATTTCCTGAAGCAATGATGTGTCGATGTCGTTCATGTTGAACGCTTCCACGAGATGCCAGTCCATGTCGAGCATGCGCCGCTCAAAGTCAAAGCCTGGCCGCATCAAGATCCGCCTTGCTGTCAATTGTCCAACACAACGAACTTATCCGACAAAGGGTCGGTATCCGGATACTTTCTGGTATCCGGTTATGGTTTATCCGGAATGCTGTTTTGGTGCCGTTGATTGGCCAGCTTCAAATTCCGACTTATTTACTTCATCACTGCCGCGAATCTCACGGCGACATTGATCATGGCCACGGTAGTGTTGGATGCTGCGAACGTGGCGACCGTCTCGTCAGGAATCCTGCGTGTCCAGCGCCTGGAAGCGGCGCTCGAATACTTCCAACGACTCAACGTTCGATGCATCGCATTTGCGCCGCGGTACTGGGTAGATGGCCTCCAAGTGTTCGAAGACGATGCTACCAAGTCAACGTTGCGGGCCCTCGTCGACACCGACAAGCTCGTGCTTACGCCACCTCAAGCACACGACGACTATTACGTAATCGACTACGCCACCAAACATGACGGATACGTCGTCTCCAACGACATGTTTCGCGACCATGTGATGCATAAGGTACACATCATACCGTTATCTCTCTCTTGTACTTTGTCTAATGTCGAAGTAGCGCCGCTTCAATGGGCACACGCTGACAATCGCATGGGTAAAGACTAGATGCATCGACTTTACATTTGTCGGGCTGGAATTCCTTCCGAACTCCCAGGTCATGGACAAAGTACTGCATCACGTGCCTCGACCACCTCCTCCTCTTCCCACGTCCCTCGCATCAGCCGCCGCCCCCGATCACCACCAATCTTCAACGTCGTTTACCTCTGGCATCCAGTCGTACATACGCATACCCACCTTCGTCTTGTTCTCATCGATGATCCATTAGACCCGTGGCCATCGCGCCAGTCGCCATGAGCTACGACGACGACGATGTCGACATGGGAGGTAGTCATCATCACGACAGCCCGCCAGCTTCCAACTCGAGGCGCGTCGTGGACATGTCCGAGGCAGTGTACATCGACGTCCCCATGTGGATAGTTGCTCATCTTTACGAGAACGATGGCGCTGGACTCAAGTACTTCCAAGTAGAGTTCCCACACTACACTATACTTTCTCAACGAACGTCAACAGCCATTTGTGTTCTATAAGACTGAGGAGTTTATTTCATTATATTTGGAATATATATATATATATATCAATGCAAAACGACTACACCAGTGTTACTACTACTACTAATGTACTACTCTTTAGGAGCTCACGGGGACATACATGCAACTACCTCGCGTCGTTCCGCTCGGTAAACCCACCACCACGCTCAGTATCCACGGGTACCTACTACTTTACTAGTACTACTACTACTACTACTAGCCTAGCTCCATATGCGAAAACCCCCAACTAACTCCATATGCTAAGAACCAACTACTACCTACTAACGTAGAAGCCGAGACAAGTGCGAACGGGCCATGCATGAAGTTCATTCGTATCTCCAGCACCAGCAGCACATGCAATCACACCATCCCCCCCCCCAACCCCAGTACCCCCCACAGCACCAACAGCACCAACAACAACAGCAGCAGCAGTACTACTACTAGTACTACTACTAGGATCGTTACTTCCAGCTCTTCTTGTACTCGTCCCCTGCAACCACGCCATGCTTCTTGGCCTCCTTCTTCTCTTCTCGCTGCCACCCGACGTTCTTGGGGATGGTCTTAACCTTCTTAGATGGATCCGTCTGTACGCCGAGCCAATTCGCCATGCGTTTCTCCCGACGCTCGGTCTGCGACCACTCCTTGTCGTGCTTGTACGCTGCTCGTTCCTATGATTCCGTCCATGGTTAACAAGTAAAGAGCAGCAAAAAGCCCATGTACAAGCAAGCTGTCAAACACAACGCCGCAATACATCAACCAAACACTGAAAAAATATGAAAAAAACTCAAGATGTCGTCCAAAAAAGGTGGAATTTTTATAAAAACGAGAAACAAAAGCGCTATAAACTCACGAAAACTTGGGAAAAAATACATGAAAAGTGAACCAAAACACGGCACAAATGTATGTGTACATCGTCGTGGCTGCGATCGTGTATGGATGCCAATATAGTAGGTAGATACTAACTCCTACTGTTCTACTACGAGTGTTTACTACCTTTTCCTTCTCAGCCTCTTCTTGCTCGGCTTCGCGGCGGCGCTGCTTCATCTCGCGCGACTCGACGTTCCGCCGGCGGTTCTCACTCTCGGCAAACGCTTTGAGCACCGCCTTGTCGTTGAGATCGGCGAGGTCGGGCAGTTGGTCGGCGCGGAACTTTTTGAGCTTTTGCTTGCGCTCGACCGCGACGCTCTCGATGGCGTTGTCAATCATGCGGATGCACGTTTTTCGGCGGTCTTCGTTGAGCATTTGGTCGTGAGCTTTTTTGATTTCTACAGCCATGTATACAGTAGTAATAACAGCATTGTTCGATATCGACGATATGGATGACATCGTTCTATGGACAAGGTTGGATGTGTGTGTACCTTCAAAAGCTTCGCGGGCGCGGGGATCAGGGTTCTTATCTGGATGCACCATGGCCGACAACTACCAAGTAAAAATGTCAAGGTACGCTGCGTCGGAATATATCGGATATATCAAAAGAATATGAAATATATCATGTGTAAATAGAGAGAGAAATAATATTTCGAGAGTAGTAAAAATAAGTCGAAAGCGAAGAATGAATATCTAATATGTAAAGATGGAGAAATACACATAAATAGGAATGTGAAATCAAAACTAGAGTATAAAAAGGGAAGAATATGAAATATATAATGTGTAAATAGAGAGAGAAATAAAAATATACACAACGGGATGAATGAATATATAATATGTAAATCGAGAGTAGTAAAAAAATACGTCGAAAGCGAAGCATGCATATCGAATATCTAATTAAATGATTGAGAAATACACATACATAGGAATGTGAAATCAAAACTAGAGTATACATATATATATATATATATTTGACGTACTTTGCGATAATGCTGCTTGATTTCTTCGTCCGTGGCGTCCGTGTCCAGCATGAGCACACGGAACGGATTTAAATTGATCCATTCAAAATGCGGCTGCAACAACCGAATGATCTGTCCTTCCGGTGTGCCTTGACATTAAATATAGATATATATATATTAGTTTTGTGTAATATTTAAATCATGAAAGTCGTCCAAATATATATATATATGAAATTTGTATCCCATATCACGTCGAGTTCAAATCACGATGAAAAATATGCTTCAGAAAAAAACGAAATATCACACCCAAAACAATTGTATATGAAATTGTATCACACATCATGTCGAGTTAAAATAACGATGAAAAATATTCTTGAGCGAAATACATCACACCCAAAATATATAAATGGTCGTCGTACTATCTCTTGGTATATATATTATATATATATATATGCATAAAGGAGAGATATATATGTACCAAAATCCACGGGAGGTTTGACGCGTTCCACGGGCGCGGGTTTCTTGACCGTGTTGGCCTGATCCTCGAGCGCCTCGACTTCGTCCATGAAGGACGCGAGAAGCGCTTCCTCGTCAGCCTTGGCCTTCGCCACCGCCTCCTGCGCTAGTCGGACCGCCTCCTTCTCGGCATTCTCCTTCTTCAGTTGCAACGAGTATGTTTCCTGTGCCACACGCACGTCTTCGATGGCGTCCTGTAACGATGCATTGCCCGGGTCCTTCTCCAACCCTCGAAAGTACGTTTGCTTCGCCAGATCAAATCGATTCAATGCATGCTCGGCAGCACCCTTGCGCATGTAACCCTTCCACCAATTGGGTTTGTGTTCAATGCATGCTTCGGCGTCCCGCAGCGCCTTGGTCTTGGAGTCGTTGCTCAAGTGCGCTGCACTGCGATTGCTGAGGTAGATCGCGTTGGTTGGGTCCAGATCCAGCGCGCACGTGTACAGACGGATGGCTTCTGCGTAGTCCTTCTCCTTGAGCGCTTCATTTCCTTCGTTCTTGAACTGTTCGGCCTGCGCGAGCGCGGCGCGAAGGGCGTCGTCGTCTTCTTGGTTCATGATGAGTTTGAACGATGGGCCTTCGAATGTGAACTTGGGATATCGAAGATCGAAGGTAATTTCGAAGTTCATACCAGCCAATCAAGACGCGGCATGGACATTCAAAAGGTTGCCACCATACAAACATGTCTGGCACTCCGAGCAACACGGCGGCGACACCTGCTGGCGGGCGCGGCAGTGTGCCTCAAGTGAAGGTAGAAGGAGGCGTGGGACGTCTGACGTAAGCAGCATGCATCTATCCATGGATATGAATGTATCATCAGAGCGGTATCATAGGTCCTTGCGATCCACAGAAGCGACAGGTGGCGCTGCGCGCAAGCTCAAGGTAGGATGACCCCCGTTAGCAGCCACGACTTGGACTTCGACCATTGACAAGTGTCTTGATCACTGTGGTAGTTTGTTCCGCGGGTTCAAAAACGTGCCCAGCAAGGTGAAAGCGAGCCCGTGGAGAAAGCTTCGAAGCCGACGTTCCTACCTCGAGGCTCCACAGGCGACAGTGGCGAGTATGGTGGCCGCGGTGGTCGCGGCGGCCGAGGAGATGGCGGTGGACGAGGTGGTCGAGGTGGACGTGGGGGTGAAGGCCGTGGTGCGGGTCGTGGCGGAGGTCGCGGGGGCAACCGCCGCGCCAACCTTCCACCGGCAAAGGTTGGTTGAGGCATCATCATCAACCACCGAACGACGACTGACTGGTGGGACTGCATTAGGTCGCGTTCGTCGGTTCAATGGCTGCAGGTTCGTCCGTGAGTTCTGGCGGTGGCGTGGCCAAGGCCAAGAAGCAACCGCAGTCCACCGAAGTGGGCATCAGTTTGTTGGAAGATGGCATCGACGATGTGCACGGGGCAGACGTTGAAGTACCGATTCAGGTAACAAAAAACACGACTCGCCTTCTTCCATGGCATATATACGTATTCGATTGAGTACAAAGGTACTCAAAGGTACTCAATGTACCTATCTATGGCTGTAGTGGCCTCCTCCGATTGAATCAGCCATGCAACCGATGGAACTTCCGTTTGGCCGACCACCTCAACACACGAACGACGCTGGTGGCGATGTCTTTTGCGACGAGGTGCGTGCTGACTCTTGTATTTGTCCAAGTACTACTATGGTACATACATGTATGGATTCACAAAGGTCATTTTTATGACTAGACTGGAGCGTTTGTCGTTGGTAACGACACGCTATTCTTTGTACAGCTGCCTACAACGTTGCCATACACTGCTCCTTTATCGGGAGTTGGGAAGGAAACTGCTTCCAAATCCTCGGAAAATGGGTACGTTCCCAATCGACATTGCAGCTTCAACGTAGCATTCGCTAGGACTTTACCCCAGACGCTCAACCGAATATATGTTGGGCTGTCCAGTGTACTTATGAGCTTGATTTATCTTGTGGTAGGACCGAAACGAGATTTGACAAGTCGTTGTCGGCAATGCCTGGTGGGTACTTGGGCAAGGTAATCATGCATTACAGGAGAACAAATCAAGTATTATCAGGTGGTGACTACAACGTGGAGTTAGATTAACATCCACAAATCTGGCAAAGCCGTGCTGGTATTGGGGGACAAGACGTTCGACTTGGCGCCGGGCCAGCCGCCGTCGTTCTATGAGGAAGTGGTGTCGATCGATGTCAAGGACAAGCTCCTGTCGATGCTCGGGCCCGTAGCCACCCACCTCGTGATCACGCCCGACTTTGATTCATTATTGCAATAACCAGTTAACATGTGAAACGTCCGTAACCGGAGGAACTACTCTTGTGAAACTGTCGTCGGGTTGGTTACACTGTATTCTGCTGTGCATATAAGTTGCAGTTCACGTGACAGATCGACATGGCAGCTCCACCTGGTAGTGGACCGCCACCCGGTAAGAAGGATTTCATGTCATGAGAAAGCAAGCATAAGCTAGCTACTTCGTCGAGTTCATCGTTCACCGTGTGGTCTTTCATATGACGGCAAAGGTCTGCCTCCAGCGCGAGGACCGCCACCAGGTAAGAAGTCACCACGATGTCACAAGTGGATGATTAAAGCCACACACAGGCAGCGGGTTTGCCGGAGCCCCACCACCTGGTACGTCAAACACGAACAGGGCGACTAGAAAGCTCAACTTTGCGCAGGCCTTGGAGGACCTCCGATAGGACGCGGACCACCCCCTGGCCCACCGCGGGGTGGTGGTCCTCCTGGCGGCTTTCCAGGAGGGGGCCAACCCCCTGCAGGTCCTCCCGGACGCGGACCACCCCCCGGAGCCCCACCGGGGAGAGGTCCTCCACCAGGCGCCCCACCGGGAAGAGGGCCGCCGCCCGGCGCTCCACCTGGAAGAGGTCCTCCGCCGGGCGCACCACCAGGAAGGGGGCCACCCCCCGGCGCCCCGCCTGGTAGAGGACCGCCACCCGGTGCACCCCCAGGAAGAGGTCCCCCACCCGGTGCACCCCCAGGAAGAGGTCCTCCGCCGGGAGCACCACCTGGAGGTCCGCCTGGCGGCCCACCAAGAGGGCCTCCACCAGGAGCGCCGCCGGGAGGAGCACCTGGAGGCCCACCGCGAGGACCCCCACCAGGAGGCCCGCCAGGAGGCCCGCCGCGAGGGCCCCCGCCCGGTGGTCCGCCTGGAGCCCCTCCACGAGGTGCCCCCCCCCCACCAGGTAACAATGTCTATCTGCTACGTTATAGTTCCATGTGTCTGACTCATTTTAGGCATGCCCCCAGGTGGTCCACCAGGAGGCCCCCCACGAGGCCTGCCACCAGGTTCCAATTCTTAACACATGAGATCGGGTTCATGACGAAATGGGTAGGCATGCCACCAGGAGGAGGAGTTCCGCCCAGAGGTAGTCTTCATGGCCACCATGGCAACACATTTGACGCATGTCGTAGGTCCGCCCGGCGGTCCCCCACCAGGGATGCCACCAGGTACAACCTGACGACTATAGTGACGAACAATATGTCAACTGGTCTTAACTGGTTTCCACATTGATAAACAGGTCGAGGTCCCCCTGGCATGCCACCAGGTGCGTTTTCTGGTTTCCCCCGTACAAATTCGTCAAGTGACCATTGTTGACATAGGTGGCCCTCCTCGAGGCCCCCCAGGCATGCCCCCAAGAGGCCCGCCAGGTACGAACTCCAACAATATTTATCCACGATTGACTTGGAACTTTCAGGCGCCCCGCCACCGGGCATGCCGCCGCGCGGACCGCCCGGTACTTTGGCCAATGGAAATGATTTAACTGACTTGGATTGAATAGGCATGCCTCCTGGTATGATGCCGCGAGGGCCACCGGGTATGCCGCCTCGAGGTCCGCCAGGCATGAGACCCCCGGGCATGCCAGGTGCTGGCCCCCCAGGTATGCTTGCATTGACTTGGAGATATCGTCGCTAATAGGGCTGGCTACTGTATGTAGGAGGGGCTCCACCAGGCGCGGTTCCCCGATTTGGCAAGCTGTCGGTGAAGTTGCTCAAGGGGCTGGAGCTCAAAAGCTTGGGCACGTTGCAGACCGCTGACCCGTACTGCAAGCTGACTGTGGGCACGCAAACCTTCCAGACCAAGGTAAACTATGAAAACGTAGTGGAGGGTGACACATGTGTTGACCGAGTTTTTCCGTCTGTCAAGGTGCATGAAAAGGGCGGCAAGAACCCCACGTGGAACGAAACGTTTGAGTTTAGCATTTCCACGGAGAAGGAATTGATCATGGAACTGTACGACAAAGAGCAATCTGGCACGGATCGGTTCATGGGGCAATGTCGCGTACGGACACCAATGCTGCATTCATTCAATATGACAGTTAATGTATTAAAATATGTGGTAGGTGGATTTAATTGCATGGATCGCGAAAGGCGGATTCGAGGGCGACCTTGACCTCAAAGACGAACAAAATCAAGATGCGGGCAAAGTGGCGGCTGTTGTCAAGTTTACAAAGCCAGTCGTGGGACCAGCAGGTTTGTCATTACTCTCTCAACCTTATCATGATATGTATTTCCAAGATTCGTATTTTTATCATATCTTTTCTTTGCAGGTCCGATCAAAGCCCCCCCACAGATCATTCCAGGGGCAGTGGGCCCCCCTCAAGGCATGGGGGCACCGCCTGCCGCCCCCGCAGAGCCCCCGCGCGACCCGAACGGCAAATTTAGCGACAGCGAAATCCTCGAAGTACGCCAATACCACTAACTTGCCCAAGTTCTAAACACGGTCATGTACGTTGCGATATACTACTGTATGTAGGCGTTCAAGGCGTTCGATTTGGACCACAACAACTACGTGGGGGCAGCGGAGATCCGGCACGTGCTGATCAACATTGGCGAGAGCCCCACGGACGAAGAAGTGGACGAGATGATCCGGATGGTGGACATTGACGGTGACGGGCAAGTGTCGTTTGAAGAATTCTACAAAATGGTCACGGGGGGCAAGGAGCCGCCGTCGGGGCTGTTCGCGCCGGCGGCAGGGGACGATCCCGCGGCGACCGCGGCCGTGTCAGGCGCGACGTCGTCGATTCAGCTCCGGAACGAACGCAAGAATACGCTGGAAGAGTTCTCGCAAGACAACAACATCAAGCCCGAGTCAGTCAAGAAGGCGTTCAAGCGGTTCCAAGCCACCGACAAGGACGGGTCGGGGCAGATTGACTATACAGAATTCTGCGAAATCATGCTCGTGGACCCGTCGCCGCAATGTGAAAAGTTGTTTGGGCTGTTTGACAACGACAAAGTCGGCCGCATCGACGTGCGCGAGGTACACATATACGTCAAAAACGATATATCATCCAAAGTGATATATGTCACAATGATATTTATACATAATGACGACGACACTGGGTAGTTTTTGATTGCGTTGTCCAACTTTTGCGGCGCCGAGAAAGACGAGAAGCTCAAGTTTGCATTCATGGTGTTTGACGACGACGGCAACGGCGTCTTGTCCAAGATGGAGCTGATGAAGATCCTCAAAGCCAACCACATGGCGTCCAACGAGTCGGAAGTCGCGCGGAAGGCCGACACGATCATGTCCCAGGGCGACAAGGACGGCGACGGCGTCATCACGTTCGACGAATTCGCCGTCGTGAGCAAGAAGTTCCCCAATATCTTATTCCCCGCGTACACGCTGGCACAGCAGGCTGACGCCAAGTAGTTCCTTGTAACGCAAAATCATCATCGTATTTGTACACACTACACGGGCTCTCGCGTTATGAACTTGAGGGTCTAGAATGAAAGCCAATTCCGCACAAAGCCATACCGTTCACATACGACAAATAATATTTCGTCATGGCAGCTGTGCATATGCTACGCCGAACCAAAGAAGGACCGTCAGCTCATCAGAACATAGCAAGACTGGATCATCATGAGTGGGGAAGGAGTCCATCATAGCTAAACACGACGAATCCCTTGCGGTTTCTGCTGTTGATCTGGATCAGCTCGTCCGCCTCCCAAATCGTCGTTTTTAAGCCACGGCCCACATTGCTTGATAGTGGCTGCCAAAGTGGCTACGTATACACTTGTGTGTGCTTTCACTGGGCATTCTTGTTGTGGTCCTTTGGATTGAGGATGGCGCCTTGCGTGGAATCAACTTCAACTTCGCCATGTCAACGATGTCACATAGCACGGATGTACAGAGGCTTCCAACAACACTGTACTCGTGTTGATGGCTTTCATTTATCCTTGAATAAATTCAATTGAACGAAGGCTAATACGATAAACAAGTCGTTCTTTGCATAAGTCTGGTAGCATTGGGCAATGGTGTAACACGTCTGAAATGTCAGACTCTCAGTATATAACACCACTGAAATGTCCGATAACCTTTGTGATAAAACTGTAGAACCTGTGAAACCTTATGCCTGATTTCATTGGTCGCAGCCCAATCTTCATCATGCTGCTTCAAGCGACAAGAATCTGTCCACGCACAGCGGTGCCGGCCGCCCAGTCGGCCTGGAGAAGAGGTCTCCAGGAGCATACGTCATGCATACGCTCCTCTCCTTGGTCATGTTGTCAGCTCTTTAGTCATGACAGCCAGGACGGTGCCCTTGTTCGCTTGAGCAAGCTGATGTCCCAGCAAGGTCCGTGCAGCACACTCTCGCCAACGGATGCTCATGTGAGCTATGGTACTTGTGTAGGTATCTGCTCGCGTCGCGAAGCCGATAGCTACATTCAGAATGGTGGCGTCCGCGTCGACGGTCGCTTCGTACGTTTCCTCAGCCAACGTGTCCAGCTTTCCGTTTTCATGTTCACGTAGGTGACAGAACTGGGGACAAAAGTGCATCCGTCGTCGAGGATCGAGCTCACGCGGGACGCCAAGGAGCACTTGACTGCCAAGGTCACTGTTCTCTTGAACAAACCTCTGAACTGGGTGTCGTCCCAGCCGGAAGACGGCCACGAGCCTGCCATCAAGCTGTTAACTCCTGTCAACGAGTGCAAGGAACTGAGCATTCGTCAGCCTCCAAACCTGGAATCCAAGGTCGGCAAATATGGCCCGCTGTCGCTGCCCAAGATGGCCGTGTGCGGTCGGCTGGACGTCAACTCGACGGGGCTGCTGCTCTTCACGCAAGATGGCGCGCTCGCCAAGCAAATCCTAGACCCCAATGGCGACATCGAAAAGGAATACCTCGTGCGGGTAAACTTGGTGCTCGACGAATCGACGCGGACTACAAAGACCATGGTAGGTATTGTCGTTGTCCCCCCAACATTTGGCTGACATTCGCCAACTCCATCGATCGATACTTCCTTCTTTGTCCTGATGAGTATCACACTAATTTCAGTCACACACACTAATTTTATGTTGAAGCATTGGTCGACGAGTGGATGATTTGATTCGTGTTCTGGGTTTTGATTGGTCGATTGATTGTCTGCCGATTTGCCACGTCACATCGAGTTGTAGATCCAACGACTTCGCGACGGCATCACAATCGACAAGGTGGTGTTCCAGGCTAAGAGCGTGGAAGTGATCAACGACAACCAGATGAGGATCGTGCTGACCGAAGGCAAACACCGCCAGATCCGCCGCATGTGCGAACAGGTGGGGCTCAAAGTCGTGGCCCTCAAGCGCGTGCGCATCGGCAACATCAAACTGCGCAGCCTTCCCGTCGGCCAATGGCGGTACCTCCAGCCGTTCGACAAGTTGATGTAATTTTTAACCAATCACGGCAACGTCTGCCTTGTGCTTCTTAGACTATGCTCGACTGCTTCGACATAAGACGATTGTATATATATATATATATTGTCGATTTGATACAAATTTGGGGAGGGGTTGTGCAAATCAACCGCGCCGACCAAACCGATCCACAATCGATCTGATTGGTTGAATTTCATTGAAACCACGCCACAACACGAAATTTCACTCGAAAGCACAATATATATATATATTTATATGTATTATGGTGGTTAGTCATCTTAACGTGGGAGCACCACACAGGTGGATTACAGGTACAGTAGTAGTGCCATACTAGTATTCGTGAGCTAGAGCACTTTGACTCTATCAGGGCGATACATACTGTATGGAATGCTACTTGCTATGATGATGATTTGGTACAGTAGTAAAGCCAGCGAGACCTCGACCAAGCACTACAGGACCACGCATGATTCGTCGTTTAACGCTTCCATTTAGACAAGGCACTGTGCCAAATATATTTATAACTATATATATTATATTAGTATTCATGGCTATAGTGGTATGGACATTGCATCTTCATAGAGCCAATGATGGAGCAAGATTGCACATGCCACTCAATCGAACTGCTGGAGTGAGCCAAGACCGTGCACAGCAGAACGTGAATGCAAGCAATCGTTACTTTATCGAGTCACCATCGTCGTCGTCGTCGATGGTGGTGGTGGTGAAGTACTCGTCCTCGAGGTCTTGCAGCGCCAGGGGGTTCAAATCCAACAGGTCGTTCGTGTCGATCTCGTCGTACTTGATAAAACCAACGTCCAAGCCGTGCATGAAGCGCTGGGCCATCACGTCCACCAACGTCGCGCGTCGCTCGGCCACGGAAAGTTCCGCTTCATCATCCGATGACAACCTATCTTCTTCGTCACCGTCGTCGTCCGAGTCCATTTCTTCTTGGAATGCATGATTGTGTTCGTCATCCTCCACTGGATCGTCGATGGCGACAGGTTTCGCACTCCGCTTGAACGAACTACAGACCACTTTATGTTGACGGGATCAACACAATTGTCGTGTGTCGTTCGTTACCTGCCCCACAAGCTCTCCTCGTGCGCCTTGCGCTCTTCCAAGTCCCGCTTCTGTATGGACGCGATGAGGAACTCGGACAGTTTCTAAGACGCATATATTGTGAGGCCACAGGAGAAGTCATGTGCACGGGGGTGTCGTACCGATTGATCTGCTGTGGGTTGTGCGGGTGCGGGCGGCGTTGGAAGGTAATTGCCCAAGTGGAGGTGAAAGAGACCGGGATTCCGAAGCTCCATGTTTTCGTCCGAAAAGTAGTCTGATGCATGCAGTAGCTCCTGTAGCTTTTGGTACCGCCGATTCTTCGTCACACTCGCTGTGATGGACACGACTTCCCTGCGTGGACGGGGAAGTTCCCGTGGGAAGGCGCTGTCGTGGCTGCTTGCGTCGTCCACGGCGATAGTCTTCATGTACGCATCCAGTGGGTCTTCTTCGACATCATCTATGATGCGCATGCTATGTGTCTCAAGTTCCAAGCGAACTGCAGGATCATCATCGTCGAGGTTGGTTCGGAAGTCCATTTGCGACGGTGGCGATATCGGACAATAATAAAATATCGGTCAAGTTATTTGAACTTTATCCGGATATGATATTGGACAATAATAAAATATCGGTCAAGTTATTTGACATGTATCCGGATAATGAACCAAACCATTTTGGAGGGAACAAAGTTTGCAATAAGACCGCGAAATGGAAGAGACAACGACGATGACGGTAGGCGTGACGAAAGCGCTGACGTCCTTTAGCATGCAACTGCGATGTCCCATCTGCTTGGAGTCCGTGACCGTTCCGTACTCATTGCCATGCAACCATTGCTTCTGCGAACCATGCATTGGCATGGCCCTCACTTACGCGCCAAAATGTCCTGTCTGCAAAGCGTCGGCGAAGAAGCGGCATTTGCGTCTGGACGAGTCGGTCCAACGAATTCAAAACGCACTGCAAGTGTTGTTGGCTCGTGCTTCCGTGCAAGGACGTGATGAAGACAAAGTAACGACAACTGCAGCCCTACGTGACCGTACTGATGCAGCGAGCGACAATCCACGTGCTGCTAACCCCCGTGTTCAACGTGTGCGGGTCGCCAGTACCAAGCTATCGACCGCTCCAATCGTGAATCCATTGAGACTTCAACGCACGCCCATCCGTGGGGACCTCCCTCGATACAAGAGTCCAACCAACCACCTCCGTCGTCGGCTCTCTCAAAAAGAAAACGTTCCTACGACTGCTCATGAGAATACCCCCCACAACACCAACCCCGTCAGTCCACTCCACCACAAGAACAGCGACGAAATGACGACGTTGAAGAAGCATTTCCCGCTAGTAGAACCCACCAAGGACATGAACCCGTCGTCCACCACCGTCGACGTGTGCTTCTCACGGACCTACTCCGACTCGATCGTCCCATGCACTCAAGAAAGCTACCCGTCGATCGTGGATTTGGCATCGAGCGTCCACACCACGCCGCCACAGAAACATCGACCCCATGACCATGTCGATGATGCCTCATCGTCGTCCGTTCAAGGCATCGCCGCCGCCGCTTCCCTACAATCCAAGCTTGCAGTCTTCAAACCTGGTGACGTGGTGCAAGTGATGGCGCGGACGTGGCCTGGGATCAACAAGTTGGGCGGCACTGCGTGGATCTCTACTTGCAATCCAGGTACTGTACCTTGCATTGGCTTGGTTTCTCCATTTTCACAAGCGATCTCAAGTTACTCATGCAACATTCATGTTCGTAGACGACAACACGTACAGCGTCCGGTATGTCCTGGGGGGTCGTGAGCACAATGTGCACGCGCAGTACATTTCGATCTTTCAGGACCTGGCGCAGGAAGCCACGCCCGTGCGCGGCGGCACCAAGCGGCGGGCGTCGTCGCCTCTGTTGCACACGCCGTCGTCACCGTTCTCGTCACCGACTCGACAACACGATGACGAGACTCGTGACAACGCCCCCCGGCACTACCGAACGGCCTCCAACCCGTCGCGCAAAAAGACAAAAGCGTCAATCAGTTTCCCCGATGCACATGCCCCCCTCCGTGTTTCCACCGACGAGCCCATGGTGCTGCTGTGCTCGGGCCTGACTCATGACGAGAAGCTCGCCGTGGAAGAGTGCGCCGTGCACGTGCTGGATGCGACCATCGTCCACGACTGGACGCCCCAAGTGACGCACATCATTGTGCAATGCCAGCACCTGTCGGCATCCAAACTGAAGCTGCGCATGCCGCCGAGTCCGTCCGTCCACGCCGTGCCCGTCGCAAGTTCGTCCAAACATGTCAAGCGATGGGTCAAGATTCGATCGCTCAAGTTTCTCAAGGCGCTCGTGAGTGGGCGATGGATCGTCGGACCAGCGTGGATCAAGGGTACGTATCCCAATGATTCAATCGATTCTCACGTTCCATATACAGTACCTAACGTGATATGCTGCTTTTTCATGATGTAGAATGCCTGCTGCAGCGGACACATGTGGACGAACAAGCGTACGAAGTGCACGGGTTGATGAAAGCACACAACTTGCTGGACGTGGCGAGGAAGGCGCGGAAGTTGCGGGAAACTCACTTGGCTCGCCGCGGGGTATGGATGGATACCTTACCGTTATGTTGTTGAAGGCGGCAGGATTGATGGCATATGTATCTGCATAGATGGAGAGCGCGGCGTCTGTCGGAACGGGACTGTTCTCGAAACTCATTTTCTACGTCCACGGGCAATTCGCATCTCCGTTGCCGCCCAAAGCAGAAATCAGCGCGCTCGTGCGGTTGGGAGGCGGGAAGGTGTCGACGTCGTGGACAGACGTCGAGGGCATGGCAGCGAAGGACCCGTCGTTGCCGATTGTGATCGTGATGGAGCATGCTTCCGACGCCTCTTCCTTTGTCCACCCCGCCGCGTCGTCGGTCTCGCCATCGTCGATGGCGTGCGTGGGCTACGAATGGGTCTTGGATTGCATCAGCGAGTGCACTGTGAAATCGTTTGAATGTAAATAGTCGAACAAATGTTATAATAATCTTATGAACTTGTTATATTTGTTTTATAACAAACACCATTTTAAACTGTTTGCCCAACGACCGCCGAAAAGCGATGGAGAGGTCGTGGGCGGAAGTCGCCAAGGTGCTCAGCAGACCCGTGCGTCGTGAAGATAGGCAGAGCGTAAACGCTCGCATGGAGGCGTACTTGACCCTGAACGAGCTCGTGGAAGAACCTGACACGACTGCGCGAATGGATGCGATCACAGCGGTGTTGCCCCTTCTCGTGCGCGCGATTCAAATGGATCTCCATGAATCCACTGATGCAGTGCCCATGTGTCTTCGTGCAGTGTCTTACTTCATGTACCACGAGCACATCGCGTCCCTCTTCTCGTTGGAGATGGTGCAGTCCACCGTCGACACAATCATCCACGTCCTGCACAACACGACTGATCAGGTACACATCCGCCTCCTCTATCCCTTCATCCGTCTCCTATGGATGCATGCATGCCCATGATTCGACATATGTGTAGTAGACGGTGTACTTGTTGTGCTTGTGGAGCTTGTCCAAGCAGAACTTTGACGAACCGACGCATCAATTGGTGCCGCGCCTCGTCGAAGTGTTTTGCCTCGCGTGCATCAACGACCTCCAGTCCCGAAAGAGTACGTACACATATCCCACATCCATTCGATCTCTCACATCACCACACCCTTGCTCCTCCTTCCGTGTAGTTCAACTGCATGCGTTGTTTGGGCTCCACACAGCATTGATCAAGCATCCGAAGGCCGTCCTGTCGCGCAGCATGCTCCAAAAATGGTGTCACGTCGTGGCCAAGGGACTGGGCAGCAGCGACAAGCACACGCGCGACGCTTCCAGGAAGATTTTTCAGGAAATGGCCACGTCGATTCCATCAACGCCGACGTCGGCCGAACCCACCGACGACATTGTAGCGTACTGTATTGAGGTAGGTCGTCCCTTGCAGTATACCATCATCATATTGTCCTTTGACACTTTTGTGCCTGATTCGTTGCCAACTCTATCGATCGATACTTTGTACTTACTTTTGTATATAAACAAGTGTCACACTAATTTCAGTCACATACTAATTCGATGTTGAATTGGTGTCCAAGAGTGGATTTGATTGGCTACTTGATTTGTGATCTCTGCTTTGATTGGTCGTATATCGATTGTCTGTCGATTTGGTGCACCAACCCACTCCAATGTCGAATCAACTGGACATTATATATACCCTCCTCACCACGACCTTGAGATCATCTATTGGGCCTTTAAAAAAGCCACGTAGGATGCTTCTATATATATATATATATATATGAATTCCACTGAAATAATAATACTGTGCCTCTTTCATTGCCAAGTGCTAATGTTTTTCCTTTTGGTAGCAACATGCGCTTCCAGCCATGCATGGCCACATGGCGGCGAATCGACCGCTCGAAGCCATCCACGTGTGGGGCTTTGTGGTCGTGCTCCTTCGTACGAAACTCAGCGACGACGACGACCTGCTCAACTCGACGTTTAAAGTGCCCGAAGTGACGCTACGTCACCAAGACAGTCGCGTGCGGGTCGTGAGTCTGCAGCATTGGCGGTCCGTCGTCAACATCTTTCGACGCCAGAGGAATCCGCCAAGTAGCACCGTCGCCACCGCCATCACAAGTACAGTATATGCGTCGCTGTGGCTGTTTCGAAACGCGATTGTGGACATTGTGATGCGGCCACTAGTGGTCTGTTTCCGGGATGAATCGCTGGCAACGGTGCTCTCGGCCGCGGGCGACACGTGGCACGCCCTCGTGGCGGTGGCGATAGCCGACTTCAATGCGTTTTGCGCGGCGGTGACGCCGCTGACGATGGACACGTGCAAAGTCGTGATGCGGACGTCGTGGAAGTTGTGGTGGGAGGACATGGTGACGCAAGTGCTGGTGGTGCTCCTCGACAGAATCGACCGATCCGACGAGGCGATTTGCGTGGTGCTGAGAGACCGGACCTGCGACATTGTTCGGCGCATGTGGCAAGTGGACGACGACGAGTCGGAGACCTGCGACAACGTGCATTCTTCACCTGCCAGTGTCGTGGGGAAGAGCTTGGAGTCGCTCAGCCTCACCAACAACAGCACGCCGTGGCCACCTGCGATGATGTCGAGTGCGCCGCCACCCGTGGAGCGGTTGCCGGTCCACGAACCAAAGTCCATAGCGATGCTCGTGATGTTCCAAAGCGCGCTGCATTGCATTGCCACGTTGCTCGCTCGCGTGTTGTCTCGGCCCAAGAGCAGCAGCGGCGCGGTAGCGCTGTGTCTGTGGCACGGCCTCGTGAGTCGCCTGCAGATGGCCTTGATGGTCAATGCAAGTGGTGGTGGAGAAGACGCAGAGATTCGAAAACTGCATCGAAGACTCATGACCAAGTGCTTTGCGTTCATGCTGGGCTGTACGCAGTTCCAAGCCAAGTCGGCGGCATCGTTGAGGGACCCCCCCGACACGGTGCCGTCAGCTTATGACGTGGCGTTCCCACAACGCTTGAAGCTGTTGGCGCATGCGTTTGATAAGATGGACTTGCAATGCATCCACGACGTTCTTCTCGCGTCTGGCGGGCAGCTGCAGCCATCGTTGGCGCAAAAAGTCGACTTCGTGATGGAAACAGTAAGGGAGACACACATCAAGGAACAACAACGAGGGGCTGCTGGGGATGTGACGCTGTTCGAGGCGTGGCTGCGACAACGTGTGCTTCAAGACGACGTGTCGGATGTGTTTGGGATGGCCAGTTACGCTATCGTGTTGGATCTAGTGGTCGAAATCAGCTCAGGGCGACCACAACACAGTGACACCATTGGCGACCAAGACAACGGGATGCTCACTTCCGTCGTCCTTGTCCTCGGCAAGATGGCAACTCTAGACGCGATATCACCATCACTCCAACAAACACTGACCGACCTGTGTCATGTCTTGCGATCGATGGCCATCAAGTCGACCGATGCGGACTCTTCCTTTGAGAGCCGCTTTCGAGCTCAGTGGACTGCGTTGACGGGGAATCCATTGAACGATGATGGGAATGGTGTGACGGGGGCGGTGGTAGACAAAGCAGAGAGCAATGTGAGTTTGCCGCCGTCCCCTTGTTTGATGCATGGGCGACCGGGTTCAACCGGCCGACGAACCCCCAAGCGACCCCCTCTCGACGACGACCAAGTACTTGTCTGCCCCCGTCCATCGCCGAGTGGCCCCATTCGGCCAGACCTAGTCGAGTGCAAAGAGCCGTTCTCGTTGATCAAGCACCACTTTCCCCAGTCGTTTCGCCAACTGAGTGGCTTCTTCAACATCCACACCATCGGCGACCTGTGCGCCAAGTCGGAAGCCGACGTCGCGTCCATGTCCCTTAATGACCCCGTGAATACCGTCCACAAAGCACTCGACGAGTTCGTCGGTCGGCGGGCGCGACTCAACACGCTGGCCAACAAGAGCCCCATGAAGCGAAAGCTGCCGCTCACCTACTCCCCCCACCCACTCACGCCATCGACGTCGCCGTACAGAAGCCCCAAGCGAACCAAGATGAAGAACGCCATGCGCAGTTTAACCGACGAAGTGATGGGATCAGGAGGAGATGAAGGAGGTAGTAAAGCCAAGGTAGCCGACGTGGTCAAGTTTACAGTGACGAGGCCGGATGGAAGTGTGCGGGTGCTGCGGCCAGGCGAAGATTCCCAGCCGTCGCTCGAGGCCCTTTCTTCTTCCCACGACGTGGTATACGCTCCTAGAGGGGGGGGGGCTACAGACGAGTCGCCCCTCGTCGACCCTGTGCACCCCCCCCCAACGAACATGGACGCCAAGTTGACGTCGTTGGCAACCAAAGTCGTGTCCCATCTAGAACGATGCGACGTGTATGTGGAAAAGATCATGGCTCACATGCAGGGTGCCCCGCATCGGCCGTCCGACGGCGGTTGCTGGACCATCGACGAGCGCACAAAGATCGGCGGCGCGCTGGTCACTGCCAACGGCATCATGACCAAGATGGCAAGAGACATTGGCAAGTTGATGGAGCCGTCGGTGCACTCGTCGTCGTCGTTGGACATGAGTAGTAGTGGTGCCAATAATAGTAGTACTAGTAGTAGCACCTGGAGTAAACAGCGAAGACACCCATCGCACTAGTAGTACTAGACGATGGACTGGTTAGTAGTAAACCTTGATCAGATCAGGAGCATATATGGGTTCACAATGTCGAAACGATATATTTACTCTTGGCAACAACGGTGTGCTTGTTGCTTATGCCTGTTGTTGTTGCCGTTTTTCCCATTCATCGGCGCCGTAAATGGCGCCCGCAGTGACTCCGGCAGCGCCCACCGCGTTCAACACACCCCGTGCTTTGCCGCCTACATGATGATGGACGTTCCGTGAGATTACGAGTCCAAAGGGAGATGATGACGTACGCAGCAAGAGCGTGGGAAGGCCGAAAATCAAGGCGGCGCCTCCAACCACCACCGCAGGATACGCTTTGCGGAATGTGTTGAATTTGGCCGCATCTACGAATGAAAAAGATCATTACGATGGAGGTGCGATGCCAAGGTCGTACTTTCTTGCACGACGGCAAAGGCGTCCTTCACGGGGATCAGGTTCTTTTCCAACGACGTTTCCGCGTCCTTGACTGTGCCCTGGACATGAAACGACGATGAATTCGAGCATTGGGAGTGATGACGTACCTCGACGGAAATCAATGTGTCGCTGGCAGCCAAACGGACGTCGGCGATGGACTTGCGCAAGGGAGTCCCCACCCCGGCCGAGTTGGCATTTCGGATCACTTGCACCACTTCCGTCAAGGGTTGCTTGACGGTGGTCCACACATCCGTGGCCCCTTCCAAGATGTTATGACGGGCAGCGGCAGTGAGGTTGGTGGCCGCTTCGACTTGTTCGTTCACGATCGATTTGATCGAGTCGATGGACAGCGAAGCGGATGGTGCCGTCGTCGATGGCTTCGTTGCTTCCGCAATGTCCGTGGCAGAAGGGTGTTGGTTCACGTTGATGTCGTTGGGCGAGGACATGACGATTCTTCTTGGTGGTCACTAAAGTCAATATGGCGAGACGACTCGTCAACGTCGACAGAGGCACGCAACGTATCCGGATGTTGGAGACTTCAAATATACTACAGTATTCGTTTGCATTTATCCGGAAATCGGGTAGGTTGTGGGAGAGCAAATCATTATCCGGACATCTTCATCCGGAATCAAGCAGCTTTGGCAATCACACCAAGATGTCAGCACATTTGACCTACCACTGGGCTGCCAGAACGAGATCTAGAGCGATGGACGATGACAAGCTGCCAATCTCGTGCTCTGACCATCCATCACCGCCATGCACGGAAGAAGGCAAAGTGTTTGTGCCACAGTCTGTGTATGGAGGGTATGACCCCAATTGGTACGGCACGCGAGTCGCCCTTCCTCGACGGCGCCGACGTCCGGATGACGGGTGTGGAGCGTTCATGAATCTGTGTCGGTCACCGCGGATAACGTTCCAACTTCTCACTTTTCAAGGGCTACATGCTGCGTTTGTCGTCTTGGCATGTGTCGCGGCATGGTTCATCGCAGTGGTGTGTCTACTGCTGGCTACGGCGTCGGCCATGTGTCCCATGACGTTGCCCTCGTGGCTGTGTTGGGCAGTGGTCCTCATTGCCAACATCGACATTCGTCTATACAACTCGATTGCTCCACAAGGCCAGCACATCTTCGTGACACTGTCTACCGCTCGAGACTTTGGGGCGACGCTGTTGTACTTTGCTTGTGTCAAGCCCGTGGTGGCAGTCGCGACCACGGGCATCCCTTTAAGTCTCGTCGTGTTGTCGGTGCGATGGACAGTTCTTTCAACCGTCGCGTTCCAAGAGATCAACCCGTTCCAGTCGTCTGCTCCTTCAATATGGCCAGCGGTCGGAGGAGTAGGCTCCATCTACTTGTCCGTTTGCGTCTGTCGAGAATTGGCCAAGAAAATGTGCACAACCACTAGATACGTTTGTTGTGACCATCTCGACATCTACAGGTATGTCTATGGCCTGCCCATTCCCATGGCATGCCAGGTACCGTCGCACATGATGGGGGTGTTTGGAGCAGGCCTCATCGTGTAGAGCGGCACGACCGAGGTATCGTGAACAAGCTATTGTGTCGTAAAAACCAGTTTAAGGTGACTTAGCCAGTTTAAGGTAACTTGTTTTGAGGCGTCGGATAAAATCAAGTGGCTCAGTACTGTTTTCAGACGATGTATTTCCTCTCTTTTAATTCATTTTCCATGAACACTAACGTTACGGGTAATACGAATTTCGATATGATTTTAAGTCCTACGAACTGCATTAACCCTCCTCTTTAAGAAACACTAACGTTATTATAATAGCGATTTCGAGTAAAGGAACCCCTCCATCGAAGACAGCATACTTTGGCGAAAAAGCCTTGTTGAAAAAGTCAAGTCGTGAGAGCGGTTAGGGTGATCTTGGACAATATCCGGACAATTGTCGCACCTCAAAATACCCTAAATAACACGATGAATGGCTGGGGTCCTGCAGTGGGCGCGTGGATAAGAGATAGCGCCACAAGACGCTGCAGGGGGAGCCTGGTGACCCGAAGTAAACCTGCATAGTGTACTTCACGCCACTAGCCTCCCGCAGTAGCACTTTTGTGACAGTCAACCTACACTACACGCTCCCATAGATGTGTGCCCTTCCAATTGATCCTGCCTGGGTCTTATACATGATATCTTGAACTTGTAATTACATCGCACGGTGCAGAAAGGATATTCCTCGTTTGCGACTCCAACGGAAGGCATTGGGTGTCTAGGACACCCAGCACGTCCAAGTCCATTTTCAGTCGGCTCTTGAGGCAAATTTCATAATGAAGTTATTGGAAGACTGTGATTGGCTATAAATAAATGCACGTATCCAATCAAAACCAATTATACCTAGCTAGCTATTTGGGCCAGAGTGGCGGTAAATCCACACCTAAAAGTACAGGTTTCAGCCACTATGTGCGACTTGCTCATAGTGTATGTAAATCGCTACAGCTGTATCGATTGCAACCCCTACATCGTTTATAACCCCCTACGGCCTCCTGTCCCCTCCACAACGATTGTGCTTGTAGCTTATCTATATGTGAAAGGACACAACCACCATTCTACCATTCACGACATCATGACTAGCTTATAGTGTCTGAAGATCGCGAGGATAGCAGCAACTGCAACCCCTACACCTCCACAGCCATTAAGTATCCCCCCTTCCCCTCACAAGTTTCGACTTGTAGCATCCCCCAAGCCAAATATCCTAGCACAGCCTCTACTGTTCTTAACGCTCACTCGAATATACAATTAGCACTGTCAAGTGCATGCCCCATCCACTCATATCGCCTAATCCTGAGAGAATAACTATACACAATATCTCGCGCGATGTCAGTTGTTAGTATTTGTGCTCTGTGATGTGTGGGACGTTGGAACTCAGACGATAAATTCTTGTCACTATGAGCCAAGAATGATATGAGTGAGCACAGTATGCGTTGTAAGGCACACAGTGTGCTAGGCAATTGGGCTAGGGGGATGCTACAAGTCGAATACTGTGAGGGGAAGGGGGGATACATAAGGGCTGTGGAGGATTAGAGGTTGCAGTCGCTGCTATCCTGGCGATCTTCATATATCTCGACTATAGAAGATGTCTTACAGAAGCAGCACGAAACAGGACGCACGATATACGCGGAACTTTGGCGGCTTGTGGCGTACCGGTAGGCTGGGTGTGTACACCTACTTGTACGCCACAAGCCGGCAAAGTTGCCATAGGATTCTGGTAGCATGGAGTGCTATTCACATGACTGCTCCAGGTCACGAGGCCTAGCGCAATCGTTCGAGGTTTAGTCCCATGTAGCTACGTACTCGCAGTAACCAGTAGTACATCCTGCTTCACGTCCGCTTCATGCCATCGGTGGTTGGTAATAGGGCAGGCGATAAGTTTAAGGTATTTCGTGATTTCTCTACCCTTATTCCGATGATTACCATACCTAATTGAAAAAGTTACCCTAACCACTCTCACAACTTGACTTTTTCAACAGGCTTTTTGTCCATATGACTCCCTCCCATCGAAGGGTCCCAAAAAGTGTCACGGAACCATGTCCATACATAGCAAGAGGACGGAAAAGAGGTGGATGCCAGAGGCAAGCACGCTAGGCCAAGCGTCCCGGCAATAATGAACACAAAGAGGAAGACGTGGGCTCACAAGAAGGAACAAGAAGTGAGCAGCTAGGCCAACAACAGGCTTATGCATGCCTGTGTTTGATGGAAAAACCACCGGTACTAGTACTGTCACCGACAATGGTTTGACATTACACGCTCAATGTGATTTAGTAGTACAGTATCTCATACTAAGTAGTAAGTACTTAGTAATACTAGTAAGTTGCTTACGGTTTTTACACGACCGGCATCCGGTTATAAATTTAAGGCTTCGTGCAGGACGAGCGTCGGGCAAATTCCGTTTCTATCGTTTGTATCAAATCGACAATACGACTTTAAACAATAAGTACCTTCGTCGTCGTCGTCATCTTTATCGCACCGACGTATCAATCTCGCACGCTTCACCTCCTGGGGGTAATCGGGGGCACCCGGTGTGGAGTGTGGCATTTGAAATGTGTTAGGTCGGCTTCTATAGGTTGATCATGTACCGATGACGTCAGACATATATTTGTCCAATCAATGCGCACAATTCTACCTCGGCATATGTGAAATTTATTTTATTTTTGGACTGTTGCACTAACCGGGTTTGACTGACCACCACTGTATATACTGTACCTTCACCACATCACGTCATTGAAACAAGTTCCATCAGTCGCATGGAATTTCTATCTCCAAATTGTCGTGTCTGGATGGAGTTTGATCACCTTTGTGGCATTATAGCCAATAGAAATGCGTAGCTTACAGCTTGACATGCGTCGTGAAAATTCGATTTATATCACGTCAAATTCAAAAATCTTGATATTTGTGTTTAGGGGTCTCTGGGGAGGGGGTGCAATCGAATCGCGCCGACCAAACCGATCCACAACCGATCTGATTGGTTGAATTTCATTGAGAAGGTTTTGATTAGTTAATCATTTTGAGCTCATCTGAAGTAGCCAATCAAATCGATTTAAATTCCAACGAGAAACCACGCCACAACACGAAATTTCACTCGAAAGCACAATATTGAACATGAATGTATCGTAGATTCAGACCCACCATCCCCAGTCCCTGCCCAAGAGGCCAACGAAGACGTCGGCCGAACTGGACTGCAGCAGACTGAGTTGCAATCTTTGAGTGCGACCTTGAAGCGTGCAAAAGACGAGGGGATACGACAGCGGGGTTATTGTTGTACACCGCAAAGAAGCTCGGTCGACAAGTACAACGACGAAGGCGCTTCCCGAGCGAAACGTCATTCCCCTTTCAAAGTTGAGTCGTTTGTCTTCTTTTCCATCGCGTGCTTTCCATCCGCCGTTGGTTTGTCCTTACTACAATAAATGGTAGTACTATGTAGTATTTCCCAGGATTGTCCAACAATGGCCGAAATTTATCACGATCGTCCAAGTCGGGTATTTGGGAAATATTATTATTCCAAATGGTCCAACTTGTTTTCATTGGCTAAAAGCACGGGAGTAAAACGAACTTGGTTAGTTGGATCCTCACCTTAAAAAGCATGGTGTCCTACATGCTGCACAAGACAGATGGGCGCAGCGATGAGTTAGATCATAATACCTTCCTTGATGAGATCATAGTGCTCACGTGTGTAATAGCGTTAGCTGTGCTATCTGCCAACCGTCGACCAGCCGCAGACCCGTTGCTGATCCGCCACGAATCCGTGCATCGACCGATGTGGTAAGTTTGCAGTGGTCAAACTACTTACTCTACAGCTCATGAAACAGCGGTATGCTGCAGAAGGATAACAAGAACGATGGCCGCGATAGAAATATGTTGAAGTGCATGTAAACATTGTCGGGGATTTTCCTAAGGGTCCTCAAGGAGCACAAACGTAGTCGTCCCATCAGTCCAAGTATCCCCCTCCCCCATGCGATAATTACCGCCGTTCTGACGGCTAAACACTGCCATTTCATCTCAATTCCTTAAGTTATATTAGCACTGTGTCAGGAAAGACAAAAAGATTAGCCACCAGAATTGCTGCAGTGTTCTTACGGGGGGAGGGGGGGGCACTTGGGCTGATGGGACGACTACGTTTGTGCTCCATGAGGACCCTTAAGAAAATCCCCGACAATGTTTACATGCTCAGTGAGTACATACTCGCTTCTTTGCATCTTTCGATTAGAACTAAAGTTGCATTTCAACAAGAACACGGCAGAATACATTCCACGAACATTGAACATTTTAAGCGCATAACGTCTATGTTATTGACCATCCCCGGACCTAGTTTCTATTGGAAACGTCAGGGGCTATCAGATTTACAGCGTTCATGATGGTGGTAAGCAGTACAACTCGAAACAGGAGGTCAAGATTGGCATCACCCATCACGGAAATTGCCTCGAGGGTCTCTACCTCCAAGTCCTCACCCTGAGCACGAAATAGGGGTGTCTCGCGGTTCTGGTCTGTGAAGGAATGATCACTAACTACTAGGAGCTCAAAATCCATGAATACATTTTATCATTTCAATCGCTTTGGGTTCTCAACCCTTCTGCTCTCCAAGTGGTTACGGTATAACCTTTCGCATCGGTGGTAAAACTTACAGTTATTTTTTTTCATTTCTCACTGACATTTTATAATTTTGACATCCTTCAAAGTTAGAAATGTGTATCCTATAAATACAAATCTATGCATCCTTTCAGCTTAATTTAATTCGCAGCCAACAAAAACAATCAACGAAAACATAGTGGTTACTACACCTTTTTGCAGTTAAGTTGGACGAATGTCCGATGTATTTGGCCGTGCACCCGATATATTTGGCGGTGTGCCCGATATAATTGGCCATGTACCCGTTTAATTTGGCACACGGATGTCGTGTGCCCGATATATTTGGCGGTGTGCCCGATATAATTAGCCGTGTGCCCAAGCAATTGGCCATCTGCCCGATGAATTGTGTCGTGTGCCCCATGAAAATAGAATAACTCAAATAATTATATTCCATGGAGTGCAAATCAGTTTTAGTGGAATCATCATGTGGTTGAAGTTCGGAGGAAAACGCGCGAAGGCCTAGAATTCGAAATTTATACTTGAGTAAAGTATAGTTTAAGTTCATAATGCGCGCGCTTTCCTCCAGCATTCAATGCTCATTATTCAAATCGCCTAGTTACGCACAGCATGGGCGTCGCTGCACCCTCACGAACTCCGGTTATGATGTCAACTGAAGTACTAGATATTCCCCTCTGTAGCCATGAGGCCCCTACGAACGCATACCTCTTTCCGCAACGCAACGAGTCGTCGCAACGTTCAGAAACGACGACGACTGCAAAACCGCGGCGTTCGCCAACGGGATAAAGCAAAGTACTGCTCAAAATTAATGTTGAATCCGATCGAGAATTTGTGGTCGTCGATGAAAGCCTAAATCAAGACACTCCGGCGTGAGCGACTAGCCGCGTTCATGGGCCCACCACCGAAAGGTTTGACTCGAGATGAATTCAATATCTCGAGCGAATTGCTGAACAGGTTATCGATGGTAACTTTCGCAGCATTATTGCATTTCTTAAAAGTTTGAATAGGGGTCGATGCTAACCGTTTGAATCGATACGCGCTATGCCTCGAATACTTTTACGGACGCGCGGAGGCCATGGACGACATGGAAGTTGGCATGTGATGCCAAAACGAGGATGTTATGTGTATCATTTCGACTGCATTTTTTAATTGAGTTCAATTTTTAATTTGAGTTATTCTATTTTCATCGGGCACACGACACAATTCATCGGGCAGATGGCCAATTTCTTGGGCACACGGCTAATTATATCGGGCACACCTGATGTGCATCTGGCGTAATGTAACGTTATGCCAAGCTTATAGCTTGACAGTGAACTAACACTTGTAAGTACCTGTCAAAAATTACAGGTGGTTGGCGGAAAATTTCGGAGTGATTGTTTTCTACCAATCATGTACATATATTACAGTAGTATCGTGGCACCGAACCAAGCCC